TCGATTACAAACCTATGGACGGGTACGAGCCAGCTAGACTGGTTCCCTGACCTTACAATTCCCCAATGTATGTAAACTGCTCTGTTTCTTCTTACATGGAAAATGATTGTTTTTCTTGGTTTTTATAGCATTTTTGAACCCAAAACCTCAAAAAAGTCAGTGTAACTATATTTGCTATATATTTCCAACCCCCCAATTCCATCCATTTCTGAAAATTACAGCAAAAGCAAATGATGTATATTCCCTTTAATGCATGAGTCACATGATTGTGCCATGTAATTTCTGGAAGGAGTAGTGTTATGAGTTTTTTAAAAAGAATCGGATTTTTGACCTCAGTGACCCCATGATGACGTTTGACTCCAGTTTGGTCATGTGACATGTTGGAGCTGGGCTACTGATACTTTTGACAAAGTGTGGTGTACATTTTGTAAATCAGTCAAAATATGTAGGAGCAATATACAATGTCAATATTTTTACTAACTATTTAATTGACTAACTAATGGACTAACGGAGCTCTAGACAGTTGTTGAGCTGCTATCCTGCGAATTCAATGCATGGTGTTCATGGAAATAATATATTACATACACAATCTATTGAATTATAAATGTGTGGCGTACGAGACCAATTTTCTGCTGAATTTCACCGAGTAATCCAGCAATTCAATACTAGCCTTTGTCAGATTATGAACTTGATGACCTTCAGAAAAACATTTCTAAAACAGCAAGGCGCGGTCGTTAAAAGCGATTCAAAACTGAATCTCGCTAGGGAGTCCCCTGTTATTGAATAGGGAATGTAAACAGAAACCATTGTGTGTTTAGCATTGGGGTTTGAAAGGATCGATCTCCCCCTAGAAACATCGCCTCCGGGCAAAAGAAAATGTGGAAACTATGAATTACAGCTCTGCACCTGCAAACAGCTATGAAATGAAACCTGAGAGGAAACTATCTCACAAAGCATACATTTTGTAGATCAAATTATTACTTTGAGTAATTGTTATCATTCACGTGAAGAAAAAAGAATTCATATATTTATAAATTTCTTTGTGTAATGAGGCACAATGCACATTGCTACTTGTCTGATTGGTTGATTAATTTAAATTACAAAGTATACGTGTACCAGCTACCAGTTTTCAGTTTAGCTGGTAGTCACGCATACCGTACATGTATACGTCTACAGGTATCAGTTTAGCTGGTAGTCACGCATACATGTATACGTCTACAGGTAACAAAGCATGAGAGCCTGAACAAAATCAAACAAAGGAGATGCATAAACTTACAGGTTAATAGTATACAAATAATGAACAGCCATTCCATGGTGACTCGCGTGACATTTGAACAAAATGTAAAGTTTTAATGCATTGCTGTTGTTAATCTGGCATTTATTCAACTCAAATTAGCATGTAATTGAGTCAGGGCACTGTGAATATTTGGTTTAGTCTTTATATGATTACTTTAAAATCGCTATTTTTTCATGTATCACAGTTTCTTTGACGTGACTCGCGTGACAGGATAGAAAAAGGGATTTTTGACATCCCTTGATTCAAATAGCTTTTCCTATGGATCTACCAGTATTCTAAAAATTATTCTTACTGAACTTAGAACTTAATACCCTCACCCAATACATGCATAAGTTGTATTGTGCCAAATATCCCTTGTTGTAAGAAATGGCCTGAAGAAAATGTGACTCGCGTGACACAAATGCGTGACTCGCGTGACACAGTAGCTTTTCACTTTCACATTATAACTGTAATTTTAGTATAACAAATCAAATCATAATATTATATTAATAAAAATGATTTACCTGTGAATACCTTATGAAAGAGTGTGAAAACGGCTATTTATCCATTTACTTTGGCAAATGTTGGGGGTGGAAATCTGGTTTAAACACAATATCCTTAACAATGACATGGAGAGAAAAAAATGTTTCAGAATTTAAGTTACGAAGTGATGTCATCAATCCACGGGTGATTATTTCAGGAAAACAGTTGTAATTCTTGGTCATGTACATGTAGAGTCACAGTTTCCTTAAAAGGTAAGAGCTGCAATTAATGAGCATATCCACAAGACCTGCCGATCAGCATCCTGGGGAATTGTCAAAATCAGCAAAATCAGGAAATATCTGACCAGTTACTCAACAGAGAGACTGGTCCATGCACTCATTACATCTCACATTGATTATTGTAACAGCCTGTTGTCTGGTTTGGCCAAGTCAAACATCGCTCCATTACAACGCATTCAAAACTCCGCTGCCAGAATGGTCACTCGGACTAAGAAACATGAACACATTACACCAGTCCTTCGGTCTCTTCATTGGCTTCCGGTTCACGAACGCATCATCTTCAAAACACTTCTCCTTGTTTTCAAAATCATCCATACAACCTTGCCCTATCATACCTCCAGAAGCTCGTATCTACCCAGTCCACAGCCATTTCATCTACATCCCGCCACCTCCGATCGTATTCTACAGCCCATCTTCAATACTGCCTGGATCTAAAACCAAAACCCGCTATGCGACCGTGCTTTCTCTGTGCTAGCCCCGAAACTCTGGAACTCTCTTCCCATCCACATCCGTGAAACTGATTCATCAGACTCGTTTAAGACAGTACTTAAGAGCTTTCTTTTTTCACAAGCCTTTGATCAGTAAAATGATAATTGTACAAGAAACAACTGTGCGCTTTGAAACATGGTGGAAAGCACATTATAAATTTTGAACAGCGCCCCTAATGAAATTGGTACCAGCCCCCCCCCCCCAAGCCCCCCGCCCCCCTCCTCCAGTTTTTTATTTTACGGAGGCCAAGTGTCCGGAGAAAAAAACATGTGTACATTTTCAGATTTTTTGGCTGATGAAACCCCCCCCCCCCCCCCCCTGCGAAAAGTCCTGGATCCGCCCATGGTGACTCGCGTGACATACATCATGTGTGACTCGCGTGACATTCTTGAGATAGTTTTTTCTATAAGGAATGTAGAGCAAATAAGAATATTCATACTTTTATTGATAGACCACCACTATTTCATTTACAAATATCAAACACTAGCTAAATCCCTCTCTAGTTCCTAAGTAATCTGAAAAAAAGTCCTATTTTGTGACTCGCGTGACATATTTTTGAGGGTGTTTTCACGATGAAATAGTGGGAAAATACTGAAGACATTTGGAAAAATTCTCAATGTTTTATCAAATAGACTAGAATAGCTACCAAATGTATGCAGATAAAGCACAATCTTATGAATGAGCTTCAATTACTTCCTCAGTTTGTGATATATACCCCTGACCCTCCGTTTTGCTCACAAAATTCATCCATGTTCAGGAGGCTGAAACTTTAAATAAAATGATTTATTTTAAAAAATCTTTTGAGATTTAGATGGTTTCAATATTCCTCTTATCAAATATAACTGACAAAAATTTATTCCTTTCACTTCAATTTTTGAGTTTGGTGATGACCCTTACATGGAATGGCTGTGAAGCAAATTAGGTTTTGCCCTTCACCGACGTTTAAACACTGTATACTCAGTGCGTTACCTCCCGAGTGAAAGTTGGAAAAAATCACTCGGGTGGGACTCGAACCCATGACCTCCTGCTTTCTAGTGCAGATGTCTTACCACTCGACCACCGAGCTAACGGGATCGGTTGGCTGGTTTGAATACAAATAATGAATGTTTATGAGTGCAATGGTAAGAATAATATCGTGAGGTGACTTATTGAATGTTCTATTCTACGAGGTGAAAAAGTGAACATCACAAACAAAAAATGCTCTAAGGACAATGAAACATTTTGAATCATCAATGCTGCATGCTGTAGTCAAACTTGTAAAGTTTACATCTATTTTCCCTGTGTAAATAATGTAAATGTCCCATAAGTTCCTTATTCACAAGCGTTTTGGTGACATCATGGCTGTTACATGTACTTTGAAAAATGCATGTGTGTTTATTTTCATTAGTATCAGTACTGTGTGTTTCCCTTTCTGGTCATTGGTTGGTGTGTTCTGTTTTCTTTCCTTAAACCACAAGAAATTACAATTCATCCCACAAATGACCCAGAGCAACTACATTACAACTAAAGCAGGATATTCATTGCAGTACTGTTTCCCATTTCAAGGGGAAATCCGTGTTTTTCCGTATGTATCCGTGTGGTACATGTCCCCATGTGGTAGATGTACAAGCTCATTATCCATAGACTCTTCCATGCAGCCACACCGCACTGCAAAAGAAAGGGATAAAAACAAAAATAAACAGTGATGATATTTTTTGTAAGTAAATTTACCGCATCACTGTACACGTATTAACTTTTTAACTTCATAAAATACATCAAGTACAACATGTACATAATGTATGTAGCGGTAATTGTTAATAGCCATAACTGAAACAAACTACTGCAGCCTGAAATATTTCAATGTCTTAAATTGATAACATGTTTTTAAATATTCACTAAAGTCCAGTGTTTTGCACAGAAAGCTTGAATTTTTTTTTTTTTTTAATGATTCAAAAGGCAGGTGTATTTTTGTGTTGGAATATTTTGTTATACCAAAAAAAATATCAAATTTAACCTCTTTACAGCAGGGCCAAACTGTTGGAAGATAGGGCCTCAGATGCATGTGAACAAAAGCTTAAGCCTTCAATAGCACTCCGCACTAATGACGTCAATTTTACTCCGCGCCGTACGCGCGCATACCCTGGATGTCAGACAAACTTTCGAACAATCACGTACCCGCACATGCATGCACATCTGGCCGCATACATTCGCATAGCAATGGTGTTGCAATCGTGCACGTACCGGTAATCTTCACACGAGAAGTTCGTACCGCATGCTCATCTGAGATCTGGGTACTCGCTTCTATTTTTAACATAATGCGGAGTGCTATTTACATGTACATGTACATACATCTGTGGTTATGTTCAGAACCACACACAGCCGCAAAAGAAATTTGTCTTCATGATGCTACCAGAAACCTTGCATCTTTATTATGATTTTTTATTATTACCAATTTGTAATTGTTCTTTTTCCAGGAACGCAGAACCCGAAGACACCTTGGAGGTCTCCCCCAACCCCAAATCCCTGGTGCAGAGGCTGGAGATCCCAGCCAACTTCCAAGAAATTGACACAGATGCTAAGAAGTCCTCACTGGGATGCTCAACGGTCAAATACGGTGAACTGGTCATTCTAGGGTAAGGCTTATCATGCCGTCCAGTCTCAAACTGCACCCTTGTGCTTCAGACAGAGTGACATGCTTTGTTCATTTCTAAGTATTATAAGAAGACTAGACAAGTCTAGTGAGGCTGATCCCCGAGTGCACAGAATTCAGAATTGCTTTTTACTGTCTTTTCTTACGTGTCTTTTCTTACGTGTTGTCTACAAATGGCCGGAGTTAACCCTTGCATATTACCGTTAGTGGGTAATTTTATAGGATTCATGAAGCACTGCCTGACTCAGGGGAGACAGTCAGTCAGGCAGTAAAGCTGGTCCGAGAGTGCACAAAATTCTATTCAGTTGATTCAGAATGGCTATTTACTGGAAGTATGTACATGTATACATTTAATTAAGTCTACTCATTCGGCCGGATTTAACCCATTCGGGCAGCTTTAACTGAGTTATCCTATATGATAACACTGCCCGGCTTAAAAGTGACAGTGGGGGGGGGGTGGGGGGAGGAGTCAGTCTGTCAGTTAGTCAGTGTACACGTATAGGCCACTGTAATGGCCCTCCCGGACCAGCAAACAGATATTGGGAAAGTTAGAGCTCAAGGCGCTATTACATGTAAGTATTAACTAGTCCCCAATAACTGACAGAACTGATATTTACAGTATGCAAAATCTACAGACATGAAATCTGAAATCTGCTGGTTGTTGTAAGTCTACCAGTATGTACATGTACTGACCACAAATCCTGCTGCCCAATAAAACCATGATTCATAAAGTGCAACAGCAAACTCACAATGGCCAAAGTGGCTTTGCATTGACCTCATATCAGGTCAGAATGATCAATGCACCATGCATTGAAGGTTTGCAGCCCTGGTCTTAATCCCAACAGACCGATCCATTGTAATCCATGCCCAATTGTGTTTTGACCTACCAGTATCACAGTTGTGATTAATGTCCAATATACAATGTACATGTACCTCCACAAAAGTCTGACGTGCATGCACGCAGGCACGACTTGCATGCACGCGGGCTCGACATGCGTAGCTGGAACATACAGTGCAGCATTGGAGAGGCGCTCATGTTGTTGACCGTACATACGGTACATGTGCACAGCAAGCAAGGCCTTATGGATCCATCTATTGGATTCATACTCCACAGTGACAGGTCACACACACTTTGTGAGCCTCCCTTCCCCAACAAGATGTACATGTATTTTGTACAAAACGTATTATACCGGTACTACGGTATCTACAGAAGAACTAAGGTGATGATGCACACTAAAAACTGATTTTGAAAAAATGATTTCGGATTTATCAGATGGAATTTTGCGTCAGGGTGATGTAAATCAAATTAGGTTTTGCACTTCACGGACGTATAAACACTGTACACTCAGTGTGTAACCTTAAATAATGGGTTGATTAACCCTTTGTTATTTAAACAGTCACAAACAGTCAAATTTCCATCCACTTCCCCCGCTATACTTAAGTTATAACACAGACTAGTCACCAGCAGTCAGGTCATACTAGTAATCACTGTGACTAGTCAAACTCAGTCGACTGACCATGAACAGACAGAACAGGCAAAGCAGGCAAGTTGTGGGCACAGCTGGCTTATCAATTACCCACAGTCAAAGCAAAGCTGTATCAAGCTATAAACAGTCACAGCCCGTCAATCCTGCTTTATGCAGGCTGGGAATTCTTAACTGTTGAAAACAGTCACTTGATTGATTTTGACTGAAAGTACTTGCCACAGAATGTATGTTTGCATAGGAGGGTTGTTAAAGGGAATATACATCATTTGCTTTTGCTGTAATTTTCAGAAATGGATGGAATTGGGGGGTTGGAAATGTAAAGCAAATATAGTTACACTGACTTTTTGGAGGTTTTGGGTTCGAAAATGCTATAAAAACCAAGAAAAACGATCATTTTCCAGGAGTCTGGTTCCCTGACTCCATATAAGAAGAAACAGAGCAGTTTACATACATTGGGGAATTGTAAGGTCAGGGAACCAGTCTAGCTGGCTCGCACCCGTTCATAGGTTTGTAATCGATTGCAAACAAGTGCAATGGTCAATTGGGGCCAGTATTTGAAAAAAAAGCCAGTTGTTTCCAACGCTGATCGGCCGATCAGCGTTGGAAATTGATACAAAAATACCACCTTTCTTGAAAATGACAGTATACCAGGTGCCATAATTTTACAGGATGCTTTAGACTGTCATTTACCAACATCCTATTAAGGTATTTCGCAAAAACTTGGTAGTTTTATTTTTCGATGTTTGCAAATGTTGTATATTCCCTTTAATAGTCCAGTGTGTCAGATCTGTGTTGACAGATTCATTATTTAATAGTCTTTAAAACTTATCTTATCTTTTATCAGAATATAAAAGGGGGGGCTGTAATTTGAAATAAAATATTCAATTACATCAAATCAAATTATGCCATAAAATGCAGTTTAAGGATGAAGATAAGGCATTAAAATGACATTTTCATGGATATACCGTACTGAACATATGTACATGTAGTTGAGGGTCATGCAGTACATACATGTACATGTATGTACCGGCACAATCATGGAGGAATTTACAATATAATGTGATACAATACAATGTGTGTCTCGTGGAAATGTTGAGTATAACATGATGTGCATTGCAGGTGTACATGTTATACATTGGTGTAGGCCTACATGACGTTCTCCATTGTAAGTGCCCTAGCAGAGGATGCCTCTAGAGCGACAGATGACAGACAAGGCAACTAGCCTGCTGAATATTGCATGCCATGACAGCCTAGGCTATTTGGTGAAGGTGTGAGGTCCGGTTAGCCAGCCGTCCTGCTAGAATCAATCCCATCGATGTAATTAGCATCCAGAACACAGCCTGGGACCCCGCGATGATGGAATAATAATAAGACAAGCGAGCACCTGTAGTGATACAATCATGCTCATTATGTAATCATTCTATTTGGTGATTAGGAGTAGACATTTTGATTAACAAATTATTCAAAGTGTTAAATTCACCAAATTGCAATTAAACACCAGTTACTGCTGTATAAATTATTTACATTCTTACATATGGCACAGTTGTCCATCATCTACATTGTATTGTATGAATGATTTCAAGAAGTTTTGGTTACATCGGGATTTTCACTGAATATACAGGGTGAGTAAAAAAAAAACGAAACCCATATGTCGGTACCATTGTTTTAGTGAAGTTCGCATGGAACACTTTCAAAATCTAGGATATGAAAACCCAATTCATAAGCTTATAAATACAAGAATCATTCAAATCACTCATGTACTTTTCAAGTTACGGAGTTTTAAACATAACCGCCGTTTTAAGGTTCTGTCCACGGATCACAAAAAGTTCAGTGTTCTTTCAGCAAAACGAAAAAAAATCACATACCGGTAGCCTACATGTAAGGATGTGTGTGAATTGTTTTCGTTTTGCTGAAAGATCCGTGGGCAGAACTTTAAAACGGTGGTTGTGTTTAAAACTCTGTAACTTGAAAAGTGCATTCAGTGATTTGAATGATTCTTGTACTAAAAGAAAGCTTATGAATTGGGTTTTCATATCCTACATTTTCAAAGTGCTACATGCAGAACTTCACTAACACAATGGTCCAACATTTGGGTTTCGTGTTTTTTCTTACTCACCCTGTATAGGCCTACACGCACATACAATTTTACAGGGATTTATATTTAAGACATTAAATTTGCAAGCATCTTTGATACCACGAACCGGTACATGAAGCATTAAAAAAAAAATATTGACAACCTGGAAAAATGATATTAAACTCATGAATGTTTTATCAAAGCATGTATTGTTAGTACAATTATGTACATTTTGTACATGAAACAAAAAGGAAAGTCCCTTAGAAAGACACTGTATGTACTTTATCCCGTGAGTAATAATATGATTATCTTGAGTGGCGGCATCATGCATGTACTTGTAGCAAGCCGATGCTGAGACTAGAGTGCAAAGCAATTTGTCGTTGCGGCTCAGCGCGGTAATCCCTCGCCAGGATCCTGTGTTTGGTTTGGGATGTGTCTGGTGATCAATGATACTTCATCATCATCTTTGGCGTCTCAAGCCCCTTCAGCTCACCGGAATGTCTCCTCCACCACCGCATCATCGCCGAGTCCGCTCTCATTTCATTCTCTCTGATGAGCCACTGACAATCGCCACTAGCAATGTCATCACGTTTGATGCTCTGCGTTGCTGCGAATGTTGCACAAGGAAAACCCTGGCTTTTTTCATGAGTGGGGTATCCTTCTGTGGTTGTCTTGGGGCTTTGCGGCGATCGAATCGATGCTTGACTGGTCTCGTTTGAGGCCTAGTTCATGCAATAAGTTCATGGTTCATTTGTAGAGTTGGGCATGGAAGATAAATACATGTATTGTACACATCAGAACAGAGGTGTTTGCAGATTTTGTGTACGGTACTGTTGTTTAAACCCTATAGAATTATGTTTACAATGTAGAAAGGATGCATTGTAGGCTAGGCGGCATGTTTGTAATTTTGCAAGACAACTTGGGCTTTCACACACAATAAAAAACTAATTTATACATGTTCCAATACATGTAATGTACACCACTGTAGTAATGAACAGTACACGATACCGGTACATGAGATTGAGGCACATTGAGTGTGTACATTATTGGAAATTTGGAACTTGTTTTGCTTTTATCGGTAGCTTAAGTGCAGGAATTCTTCATTTTCTGTACAAAACTAAGTGAATACCGGTATTTTATACTTGGACAATTCTCCAGACTGATTGTTCACACATTTCACGTTCACACATTTCTATTGGAAACATTACATGTGTACATGAATATCCAGATATATTTTAAAATATCGAGACAAGAGATTCTAAACTTTGTAGTAAAATATGGCTGCATCGCTGTGTACAGGTAAAGGTTTCATACAAACTCAATCAAGCTGAGTAATTAAATCACGGCGAAGAAAGGCCTTGCCACCGGTTCACAACCTTTCAAAGAGTGTTCACCTGTCGATGACAAAAGAAATTGTTGTCTGAGTGACGACAGTCACCATAGCACTGCAGCCTCATGTACACGTATACAAATTTACACCTGGTTGTCATTGGAAGCATTGGAAGGGTTCAATAGACCTTATACATTGCGGGTATCTCAGATGGTTTCTTTCTTATTTTAATTGAGTAACAATAAATGCACAAATGGTTTACTCATGCCTATCCGTGCAATACAAAACCATTGCCCTCTAACTCCGCCTTAACGCATAAGGTCTATTCTATAGCAACATTGTGCCAATATTTTGGGCTACATGTGTACAATGTATAATGTGCAGACATGATTGTTACAAATTGAGTTCTGCAACTCCAAAATATAATGTTCTTCTTTCTTCTTTCGTGTGAGTTAGTAGTACTGTACATCAGGCTATTTCTTGGAGCTGCGTAAGCCAGTTGATTTGTGCGTCTTTTGGGCACGACAGATCAGTCATCCCGTCAGGAGGTTGGAGGTCGGGGCAGTGGTATAATATAATGTAAGGGGGGGGGTAAATTTCTGGAAATTGTATTCCAAGTGCATCACATTCACAGTACATGTACAGGTACATGTAGTACTATTTTTCAGCTTAAAAGTTTATACTGTATATTTATTTTAATTGCTACAAACTACCGGTATACTCAAAATCTCATAAACTTAAATGAATCGATGTACAGTATTTGTACACGAACCTTGCCATTATGTCCATGTCCATGTACATGTACACGTACAAGAAAACAATCTTTCATCATAAAGATTCATGCTTTTATGTGTAAAGGTTCACGGAAGAAATTTAGCCCTTGTATTTGAGACTTACATTGTATCACTGTCAGACAGCAAGACATAGTAGGGGGTTTGTGATCCACACATTCTTACACAGTGTGACATATCAAGGTGACATTTACCCTTCACTCAATCCAGGTACTGGGGCCTCAGATGCCTTTCAGCACATGTCGTGCAGGTGAAATTGTTTTCTGTCAGTGGGATATTAATTTTATCAAGGACCTTCCACTGGACAAGGGCGTGTTTTCTTGATTCCAAGGGAATCAGAAAACCTTGTCCTCAGACAGGAAGCAAAATAGTTCAGATGATTCATATTTTGTCTATTTTTTTGGGGGGTGTAGTACGGTATACATTTTGTTGTGCTGTGCTAGATTGTTCTCAAGCATGAAGGAATTCAGGGAATGAATGGACAAATTAACCCTAACGTTCCTGGGTCTCTCAGAAATACCCAAGTAAATTTTGGAGGAATTTGTTTGCGGGATTGAGAAAGTGGTAGTGCCCGGCCAAAATATACTAAAAATAAGTATAAAAGACTGACGGACAGACGTACAGACGGTTACAAAATATAATTATTTTTCTACCTACCAACATGGATAATTTTTGGGGCATTACCATAAACACACCTTTTTTTTTGTCTTACTGACATGTAATGCCTCTTGACTTAAAAGTAAGCATTTAATTTCACCATTGGTTTCCTGCAGAGTAGTAATTTTTTTCTGAGGATTTTGGAAATTTTAATCAAAAAGAGTTAGGTTTAATGAATCCTTTTATCATCTGTTGGATAATTACCTCCACAATGATAATCTCCAGATGGATATTACATCAAGTAATAAGAAATAGACACCCTGTAGCTACCAGTACATGTACGTACAAATAAAAACCAGATGGGCTTCAGGCCTTAAGTAGTGCATTGACCTCACAGACTCACAGTGAGTTCTTGTCAATTACAAGTGTATCTCCAAATGTGCTAGGCATGGCAACAGACATGTTGTTGTCATATTCACTTTGACTGTCTTTAGTGTGTGTACTCAGATGGAAGCAATTTTAGGGAGTGATTCAAAAGTTCATTTATGAAACTACTGATCAGTGCATGGAGTTTAAAAGTAAACTGTGGGCCATGAAGCATGATAATATTAATAATATCAACTTTTTGTCCTCTTTTACCCATTTATGTACATTTCCACCCCGTTGTTGAAGATTTTGCTCACCAAGAATTTAATATTTTCCTGGCAAATTTTACAAAATACATATGTAGTGAATGAGGTTTTTAATCTTACGTGAACAATGTTTTTTAGTTTAAAGGGAAAATACAACATTTGCAAACATCAAAAAATAAAACTACCAAATCATTTTGAAATACCTTGCTGGACTGTTAGTGAATGACAGTGTAAAGCCTCCTGTAAAATCATGGCACCTGGTATACTGTCATTTTCAAGAAAAGTGCTATTTTTGTATCAATTTCCAACGCTGATCGGCCGATCAGCGTTGGAAAAAAACTGGCTTTTTTTTCAAATACTGGCCCCAATTGACCATCGCACTTGTTTGCAATCGATTACACACCTATGAATGGGTACAAGCCAGCTGGACTGGTTCCCTGACCTTACAATTCCCCAATGTATGTAAACTGCTCTGTTTCTTCTTATATGGAATCAGGGAACCAGACTACAGGAAAATGATTGTTTTCTTGGTTTTTATAGCATTTTCGAACCCAAAACCTCAACAAAGTCAGTGTAACTATATTTGCTATATATTTCCAACCCCCCAATTCCATCCATTTCTGAAAATTACAGCAAAAGCAAATGATGTATATTCCCTTTAATTTTGGTCAGCAGTTACACAGATTATTTAATAGCCCTTTTTTTAACCTGTCTGTAATGTAGTGTAAAGAAAGTTCTGTTTTTCTTAACAGGAGCTGTACATGAAATTAAGTTCTGCAAGAAAAGATCTGGGGTAATTCTATCAAAAATGAAAATTTTTGAGCTGCGTGCATTACCGGTATAAAGTCTGAACCAGTTCCGAACAATTCAATTATCGTGGGTTTAGTTCCATGTGTACATGTATGCACCATGTAAACTGATCTTAACACAATCAATTATGTGCATTTCAATGACTTAATCCTATCAGCGGCACTGGGCCCTACATTTGTGTACCGGTAGCTACTACTTTGGATAAAGGGAGAAAGTGTGTTTCTCCTTATCAACAGTAATGTAATTTTGTTGTAAACTGAATAAATGAATATTAAAGATGAGATTGAGAGTACATGTACATTTGGAATGTACAGAAGCTATTCAAGTGATGTACATGTACATGTACATGTACATGTATACAAGTGATGTGAATATCTAGTGTTAAGATGTCATCTTTGCCTGAAAACCACTAAAGAATGCCATTGTTTGCAAGTATTTATCAAGCTTGGTGGTCGAGTTGTGGAGACATGGGGTACATGTACTTGGGGTGTGTGGCTTGGCATTCTGCTATATCCCTTTTACACAAAAAAAGAAATCTGGCTTTCAAAATGATGAAATTCAAGATGCCAGCAAACACAAAAAATCTAAATATTTTCGGGGTCCTTGAACAGGCTGGGAGTAAGCCAGCAATATTTTTCATCCAATACTGATAAAACTGATAATGCAAAAGTGTTGATGGTGAACAAAACATTTGTTAAAGTTTATTGACATTTACTTGACATTTACATACATGTACACTTTACATGTACATGTACATGTAATTCAAAATTCTGTTTTCTATACACTGTACAAACACTGTATTTAATCACATTCATCTGCAAAATACAATATGCAGATCTATACATGTACATAACCTCACATTGTCTTTTTTATCTTTGATACAAAATTTCAATTGGTGCATTTCTGTATTTCACTGTGCAGGTACAATGGCTGTTTGCCTTCAGGCAACCGAGGCAGACGGAGGAGTCGCTTCGGTCTGTTCAAGAGAGAGACAGCAAATGGCGTCAAGCCAGACAAACAGTATGAAGTCAGTCCACAGAAAGGGGGACAGGTAAGTGGACAAAATTGAGTCTATGCACAAGTCCTCCCCCCCCCCCCCCCCCCCCCCCCCCCCGTGAAGTTGCTATGGGTTTGAGCTCAATCAGATACAAATTGGTCGTGCTTCTCTGTGCCATACCGATACGAGCCTGAACCAGTACACACATGCAAATGACGTAACCAATTTGTAGGGGGGAGCCATACGTGTAATAGGGGGCCTCATTTTCTGGAGAGGGACAGTTATTTTCACTCCCAAAGTCTGAAGGGGGGGGGCACAAGGGCAGGGGATCACAGGCTTTGGGGAGGAAGAGGACTATGCTTTCCCTTAAAATCTTGGGGTTGATGCAGGGTTGAAAACATGCGGCGTTTCTCAATTTTCAACCCCGCGTCAACCCTGAGATTAATTTCGGCCAGGGTTGAGTTGAAGTCAACCCAGCTCCAGACCAGGGTTGAGATTTTCAACCCGGTTGAAACTTTCGCCAGGGTTCAAAACAGTAGTACCGAGTGAAATAAGGTCCATTTGCAAGAAACAATGTGGGGTTGAACGTGGAGTTGAAAAATAATCCATCAACACGGGGTGGCACTTGGTTTGCCCAGGGTTGAGTTCAACCCGGGTTGAGAGGCTGTAGTGTGAAAAGGTCTTTAGATACGGTACTGGTACATGCGGTCGGTCCACACACCAGAGCCTTACATGTACCGGGGTACATGGCCATCTGAATGTGTTCCTTCATGTTCACTGAGGTAATTCTCTTTTTTCTAAAAATGTAAGTTCATTTAAACTGTAGGCTCCAATAAGGTGGAGTTACAGTTTTGTATAGCTTGGACAGGCATGAGTAATACTTTGGTGCATTCATTGTTACTACAGTCAACAAAGAACAGTCTCTTGACTTAAGATACATGTACATACATGTATGCATGCAATGCGTAAGGTCTACTGACTCACTCTTACTGCACTCATAATTGTGTACCTGCATTATTTGTTCTCCTGGCAGAGCCCCAAGAAAGGCAAGCACACAATAGCCTACACATTATCAAGACATCAGACAGTGGTTGTTGAATATTCATCAGACAACAACACTGACATGTTCCAGGTGAGTGATGCCAATGGTCCATCCGTGTCTGCTACTGGTAGATTATGTGATTGTCTGATGATTGAATATTCATAAGATTGTTTTGCATTTAGAATGTACGTCAGCTAGTATGTTCCAGGTGAGTGGCGGCCGTGGTCCATCTCTTACTACTAGAACATTTGACTATGACTCATGAATATTCATGAATCTGCATCAGATAATATACATATATTAGAGGCTGTCATGTGATTATCCAGTTGTTGAATATTCATCAGATTCTTGACTAATACCGTTCCATGACTTCAACATCATATGACTCATATCATTAATAAGCCACTAACTCCAGGGTTATGTGTACTTTGAAGCAACCCCAGGCTGTGTTCAGCTTGACTGCAATGTGTCTTTTTAATATCCAAGTGATTGGCCATTATCGCATCATGGTTGCCATCTGTGAATACAGCTCATTACATGCAGCATTTTAATGGTTTCCAGTGGTACATTTTGTATTACAATAGTACAATCATAAAATGCTTTTCCTTAAGCTGAAATCAGAGTTTTATTTCGTTGTGCATTTTTTAAAAAATGGGGGGGAGGGGTTTGGGGAATTCACTCCACAATATTTCTGCATGTGTACATGTAGTTAACTTAAGAAATGCTTGCCAAAAGTGGTCATAAAATGTTAAAACAAGTTGACTATGTTTTTATGTAGAGTTTACTAAATATCACTTGTAACATAATTATGATTGAGTGATATACTGAAGAATAATAAGGAGATATGTGTGTATACAGTAAAACATACATGTATTCTGATAATCTCTGATCATCGTTGAACAAATACCAAGTACATGTACTGTAAGTTTAAAAAGTTTGTTTATACCAGTATTATTTAAAGTTTATAGAAACCGGTAACAATTCTTGCACATTTAATTGACAAGGACAGGAAATACCGGAAAATTAAAAGCAAAGCAGGAAATTGTAGATCAAGGGACCCTTTTAGGAATGGCAACCCTTTTAAAACAGCTTTTAAGCTCTTCAAGAACCCTGTAAAAAAAAACTTAAAATGGCTAGAAATTTAAAGGAAGAAACACAATATTAACAGACCTTCTCAAACTGCAAAGATAGGAAATCACCAACCCTACTTTTTGTCAAGAGTGTAAAACTTGGTCCGTCTTGTAACAGTGCACCCTCTTTCCGCCTTTGACCATTTCAGATTGGTCGTTCCACCGAGCCCGTCATCGATTTCGTCGTCATGGACACGGTACCGGGCGCCAAGTCGCAGGAAGAGTGTACGGTAGCGGAGAGTACGATATCCAGGTTTGCTTGTCGTATCATCTGTGATCGGGACCCACCGCACGCGGCAAGGATCTATGCGGCTGGATTCAATTCCTCTAACAATATCTTCCTTGGGGTGAGTCCCAGTGTAGGATGGCCTCTCTATCATGCTAATGGCTCAACTTGAAAGCGTAAAATAGGAGGCACGAGGCAGGCCCGCAAAAAGCCTTTGATGTTGCCCTGTATTGGCCATTTTTGATCACCAATTAGTGTTCTTAAAATTGATGTCAGCAGCAATTTATTGGGATGCATGGAAATAATTTACGGTGCGAAACAGTGCACAGCAAAGTCAGGACTCTTTGCAAAAACTTTTCAGACAAATCGACAAAACTATTAAGGCTTAATTCTAAGATCAAAATTTGATTAAGGCACCAACGGGTCCTGAATCTAAATACGAAAAGTCTACATGTACGTGTAATGGTACCTGTATTTGGGCAATTTACAAAACGTAGAGTATGAAACACTTTCTGCAAATTAGAAACATTTAAGTTAAATAACTAATTCCATTCCAGTTTTTAGCAATAGAGGTATCTTTTCAACTTTTGGGCACCCTTCAGGCTATTGTGCGTACCTCATTTAGTTTTCCAAATATGTAAAACATCAAAATTCAGTGAATTAAAAACGTTGTTTTCAAACTCAATTTGGACATCCTATTTTCTAATGGTTGCCCGTCATTTATTCTACTCTAATTCGTTGAAGTTACAAAAACAAGTAACATGTATGTTAGTACCGGTAACTTTTATCTGACTTTTAAGACCCCATTCCCCATTTAGGCATCAAGTGAAATTGCTCAGCAGGAATACTAGTTAGATTTTTTTTAGGGTTGGAGAATCAAAAGTTTTTCTGAGGCTAGAAGTTTCACGATTCCTGACAAAAATCAGACGTTGCTTGTTTGTGTTGTTCCCCTGCCCTTGATGCGATATCTCGATTCCCTGTCCAACCGTATTTCCCGTAGACCGTGAAGGGATTAAACGTCACGCACCCTGGTAGCCTTCGCACATTCCAAGCACCAACGCATACGATAACTCGTGTCCTGAAAACAAAATGGCCCTGAGAGTTTTCTTATCTTGTTGGTCCACATCCAATTTATTCCTGAGATTCTTGGCGACATCTCTCAGATTCTCTACCTTGAGGGCTTCATGTATATTGCATTACAGGGGTGTTTGGACATGTATATCATTCAACTGTCCAAACATGATACAAACATGCATGTTGTCCACACAGGCCCGCGCATGTGTATTCCTAATGTACACAAACACCATTCGAGATCAGCGTGTTGCTTCAGACTTTACCAAATAAGATCATATTTTCAGCAGGGTCTGCGTTTACGAAGGTCTCGTTACTGTCGCCTCTAGAAACAGACTTCTAGAATACCCACCAAAGATATTCGGATTGGGTCTCTAATTCTGTGCATAAGAAAAACATAAGGTTCAGAATATTATAGATGCATGCATTATTGTTTCAAAAATTTTAACTATTTTTGCTAACTTTTCGATTAAACCTATTAGGCATAGTACTTGTCTTTTGCCTTTTTTCCCAGATGGAGTTTGCATTATTTACACGTGGCCTTGTATCCTGGAAATTTGAACATTGGATTTGCTTTGGGAGAAGGAAAACCTTTCTGTATAGATTCACATGTGCAGTACATGTACATGTATACATGTACCGGTATGTAAGACCTTTAGTGATTATTGTTCACGTACTTGTACATATTGTACAATGTATGTAAACACTCATACACACTTCAAATGTACAATGTAACAATAAACCTTTCTCCTTATTGTATACATGTCGGTACCACAGAGTTACATGTAGCATGTACTGGTACTGGTATAATGTACATTTGTACATAAGCCTTTGTTCACTGCAAGTACATGTTAATGTTTGCTGCAGACTTTAAAAAAAAAATCTTTAAAATTACTATTAGAGAAAGTACTCAACAATGGTGAAACCTCAGATCTAAACAATCGTAGAAGAGGTCGGATGAAGGTACCATGGCAACAGGAAAATTGGAATAGACTGTCTCAGTAGGCAGAGCCACTTATTCTAATTTTCTTTTTGTGAATTTGTTTACTCTACAGTGATGGATTTTGAGGTTAACCGGCAAAAATGCCGAGGATAAAGCTAAACTTGTGAATGTGCTAGTAGACTTGCATACATGCACATGTACATGTACATACTGCATAAATTATGTCCTTTATAAAATGTGGCCATCAAATCACAAAGGAAGGCCCTTTCTGATACTTCCTGGTAGCACGACATGTACATGTACAAATGTACCTCAGCGTTAACAACCAGAAGTGGACATTGCTGAGTACCGGTACCAACGTACACATACATACATGTATGTACATGTACATGTAGATGAGCACACATGCATTATTGCACATGTATGTTTTTCTAGTGGTGTTTCGTACCGGTCGGTAGGTTGAGAGTTGTGCTGTGTATGTCAAAAATCCAAAATATAAAAAAAAAGTTACAAAAAAGACTATCAAAGAAACAAAGTTCTTTTTAAAGATACATTTACTGTCCAAGCTAGTTTCCAGTTTTACCCTGATAAAAATATGTGTTTTTATTTATATTTCTAGGAGTGCAGAAAACTTGATTTAAATGCGGCCTGACAATTCAGTTCTTGCATGCTAGACTGGTTCCTGAAGCCCTATCAAAATGTTGGGACCGGGAACCAGGCTATACTTTAATGCAAAAGCAACTACATTCAAGGCCTTTTTTCTCAAATGGTTACAGATGCCCCCAAAAAGGAATACATTTTTATTTATTTTTCATTATTCAATGTAAAAATATACACTTTAACAAGCCAACAAACTGCCTCTCCATTTGAGCCAGTCCCTTGCTACTGAAACCAGCCTTGCTCTTCTTGATCTGAGAAATCTTGTCTGCCAAAATGTGCTGGACTGTCACGTAAGTACATGTAGACATCACACATGCAGCTGGTGTAGTAAAGGTCATACTTGACTCTCAGCAATAGGCCTACCAGAGGACTTATCTTGCATGGGAAATCCTGTTGCTAGTCAGCATGGTTCCTTCATAAGACCAGGGTATATGCCATGGGCTGCCATACCATGCTGATCCCCTTTAATCCTGATAATATCTAGCCGGATTAAGATGTCACTCTCCTCGGCTATTTTGCATGTATGTCCCGGTAGTTGCCGGTGTACATGTACCAAGGGGTTGCATTCACTGTACATGTATCATGTATGTAGGATTGATGAGAGGAAGTACATGTACCGGTATGTCGTAACAAAGTTATTCAACAAATGCAAATGAGTTGATTCTTACATGTATGGAGCACAAATCCTGTACATTTATTAGAAGATTTTGTTTTCACTGAAAGAGTTGATTTGTTGGCCGAAAATGGCTTTTTTTCCTTTAATTTAAAAAAAGAGAGAATTTTTAATTGAAATTTCATGGAGATTTTGGTACTTTAGTATTTCATCCCCACAATTCACTTCTTTCATGACATTATTTCTTATCATTTGAACGCCCCCCCCCCCCCCCTTGCACACATGAATATATAAACAGAGTTCGCCGGGGGAAAACAATTACATGTACTGTAGGCCTAATTATCAAAATTGGGGGGAAAATCTGTGATTATCTCCAATTTGCACAAAAAATAGCCTGCCTTCACATTGGCAGTTGTGTTTCTCTGTGTTTTTGAATGCATCATGTAGGCATTTCCATGGTAACTCGCGTTACATTTAGAAGGGGTCTTCCATCAACTCTGTGCTATTCTATAAAGTCAAAGTACCAGTCTTTGGGGTGAATTTGGCTCACAGACTCACGATAACACTTGCATTTTGTATGTAAAAACTAAGTGCTCAAATGACTACTTAAAATCAATAATTTTAGCCCCCCTAAATACATTTTTGGGACAAAAAGCACACTTACATGTAACCATAATCCCATCTCACTAACACACCACTCAAATGAAATTTCTTGTTCTCTTTCAGCTTGTGTACCACATTTGAGGTTGTGATGCTTGTACCGGTAGTTCTGAACATTTCATTAAATTTTCCACTCTTCAGCCATGTCTACTTTCTCATGGAATTGCCCACATGTACATGTAAGATGAGTCCTACCGTAACCGTAAGACATGTTAAAAGCACGCACCTACACAAGTTCATGTACACTTGTACCGGTACATTGTACATGTACATTGTACATGTACATATACATGTATACATGTACATGTACATGTACATGTACATGTACATGTAGGGTGCATGCACCTAATGAAAATGCTTTTATATGACAGTATCCACCAACAGTGACATTTGACCCTATCGGAAGCTCCCTAGTCATTTTTGCCAGGATGCAACCTCAATCCTGCAAAATCCTCCGTTATTTCTTGAATGTGTGTTCCTTTGAGGAGTGACCAGTGCCTCAATCCTGCAAAAGCCTCCAGCAATCACTGTCCCATATGTTGAGGCAGAGCCAGTGACATCCTGGAGCAGTGCGAAGGATTTCAAGTGTAATCTAGGCCTACGTTTATGCACGGCTGAGCATAAACAACACAAGGTCTGGCCCAAGACATTGACACAGTGCATGCATAGGTCCTAGCTCTATGGTGCATGCATCCATTCAGCCACACATTTTGACAATCGATGGAAATTCAGGTCGTTTCTATAATTGCCAAATTCTTGAGCAATATCCATGTATCAGGAAATGATATTGACATTTTATACAGGGCTTGGCAGTCGGCACTTGCAGCTGAGTAGTTTTTTTTTCTGGGTATTTTCTTGTCACTGGAAATGTCTTAATTCCCACACTGATGTCAGAACACACTCATCAGAAGAACACGTAGCCATGTCATTGCCCTGCAAATCAAGAAAAAGTTGCGCACATATCAATGGTTTGACAGCTGTCGCTAAAGGAACATTCACAAGTATTGAATTGAGTTGTCATGTCACGACTATTAAACCCTCATAACAACATTACATTGTAACCAGCCCATTCATGTCAACGTGCAGGGAAAGCTATTAATGCATGAAGCGGGCCAACATGTAGGCCCCAAGGGAGGGATTTCAAATTATGCGCCGGGAAGAATAGGCTTTCAAGATTCCTTTCATCGGAAAGACGAAGCGCGGAAAAGAGGAAAAACCTTCTTACATTGGATAGAAATTGCAACGAGCCCTTCAGGGAAGCAATGGATAGATGTAATATGACTCGAAGCATCGATTTTCTACCAATTTAGGGTCGGGAAGCGTCAAGATTCAGTTCTTGGATAAATCTTGGACACCGGTAATTAAAGTTTTAAAGTTGGCGGGAATCCTTTTTGAACAGGTGTAGGTCTATTGTGTTTATAGAGAACGATTAAAATTTACGCCCAGTCAAAAAAAATAATAATAAGTAGTTTCTCTGCTGTCGTTTCTGAAAAAGTGAAGTACATGTAGGTATGGTAGGCGCTTTTGTTTTTTTTTCCCTCAAGATGGCGGATTTTCCAAGATGGCGGATAGATTCTTCAACTTTCTTGACTATTTTGCTGAATACAAAATTGTCCAAAGGACCCAGGCCCATATAACCCTTTCTACATGTATGCAGCTATATTTATGTTGGAAACAAATAGAAAGACAATATATTGACAATACATGAACCGGTATGTGCAAAACATATTGGAAATATATGAATTAAAAAAATAACTAAATTATCAGAGGAGGTGGCCAGGGAAAAAGGAAGCGAGCGGGGACAAGGAACTGTTTTTTTTTTTTGTTTTTTTTACATGTCCTTATGGTGTATAGGAAAGGACGTTATGAGTACTAATTATTTTGGTTGTTTGTATGTTATTATTTCCCTTTTTTTGGATACGGGTTGGAGGTTGTGTTTTACAGTGTACAATTGTATGTATATGATATCGGTACATATACATTGTACGTACCGGTACACAGAGGGGAACATGTACATGTACTTGACATATGAGCTTCTTTTTTCTAAGAAATTTTTAAGAAACAGTTTTCTCAGATTAAAACGAGTCAACTTAATCTTTGCTGCGCCAAATGCTATAAAAGGCTTCTCAAAAATCACCAAGAATCACCCTCTCTTTTGTTGCGTGAGTAGTCAGCCTGTCCGCAGAATTGTTGGGCATTACCTCTATCCTGAGATGAGGAGACAGTAATTGCAGATAGTGCTTCACAATCACAGTGATGTCGGAATTCCTATGATGACTCTGTTGATCATCAAGTACATGTACCTACATGTATCTGTGTGCTACTGCTAGAATCTGTTGCAAGTGTACTTTGACTCTGAAATGAATGTTAATCATCGTTCTAAGATATGAAGCAATCCTCTGGTAATCATTATCTTAGAAGCAGTAAAACATGTACGTAGAGTGGGCATGTTTTCTGTGTACAACTCCCATGTGACTCTATGAATTCAATCCTAGTCATCATCCAGGCAAGTCTAAGGACCTGTCTGCTCTTTACCATGTTCTTTCTGCTCTGTACCGTAATGAGGTAAGCGACCCTGTCTTGTGTTTGGTGATCGTCTCATGCAGTCATCAGTTCAGGATGAGGATGATACATGTACGTATATAACCATCCTAAGATGTAGATCCTGCTAGCTAGACTCGCATTAACAGGGAAGGCTACGACTACCTTAAAAATGCCCCTGTTCCATTTTTGCCTGACGTAGGTATTTCATAAGCTACATGTATTTTTGTGAGGATTTGTGCAACACAAGTTTAACATGAGAATAAGGGAAAGACAACATCCGTCACATAATGCAATTGTACTCTTTCCCTTTGTAATAATTGACCTTTGTTTGATGGAATTAATGATGAAAATGCTCCAAATAAAGCTACATGTACACATGTACAGTATCATCCATCCATATTTACCAAGTACATGTACATGTACATACATGCAATTTTAGGAATTCATGTATTGGCCAGAGAATGGAAGGAGTTTTTAAAGGTTTGTGGACTATGAAGTTGTGTACACTGTTGTTTCCAAGCATATTTTTTTCTGGAATCTAAGCGTTTACATCTGTAGTAGGAATCAAGTTACATTGTAATAAGCTGCAAGGATCAGTGTAATGAGTGCTTTGGATAAGTAGGATTGTTATACTTCTGTCTTGAATACTGTATTTTGATTGGTCTAGAACAATCACGTGTTAAGTTTATAAAAAGTCATGGCACACTCCATGTGAGATATCATGTACGTGATATCCCACAGGGAGTGTGCTATGACGTTGTACGTATGTACGGTACATACGGTGTGTCGTTGGTACCCATGCTGTGTTCACCATGTTTGCACACATGAGTGGGAGCAGTGAACTAGCAGACGATCAGCTGTTTCGAGCACACGCCATGCATGTGAGTTGATGTTCAATTGTCGTGATTGTTGTGTTAACTGCTGTTTGTTTTTGTGATTTTTACATCAAAATCCAAAGAATCCAAGACAGAGGTATAACAAAACAAATGTTGACTGCTGTGATGTGGGATATGGCATTTTGAACACACTCGGGGCAAATATAGCTCCCTCGGCTTCGCCTCGGGTGCAATGCGCCCCTCGGGTGTTCAAAACGTCATATTCCACATCACAGCAGTCAACATTTGTTAAATTACTAGTGTTTCCAATGCATACATGTACCGGTATATATGCAACACAGCCATTCAAAATAATGTACCGTTTTCTCCCAAGGGACTGAGACTCAAGTCTAGTCAAATATAAAGTACAGGTACATCTACTACTCCGCCTAATCAAGCCTTAAGTGTGTTGACCACATAGGCTTATTTTTGCAGCTTAATTCCTTGAGAATGGAATTGTCTTAATCAAACAGAATTAAACCATGCACTATGACAATTGCCCTGCCATTTCCAGTGGGCGTCACTTATATTTGTAAGGTTGCTTCATCAGCTCATTGTCCGCTGGTTAATTTACCTCAATTTTAAGTGACGTGTACATGTACTTGTTTGACTCTCAAAGAGATTGACAGCAACAGTGTTTCTTGTTTTTGTCTGTCAGTGATTGTGTAGGGCCACAAAGAGAATGAAATCATGCATTGCATTTGGATCTTTCAAGCAAAACAATTTTGATAAAAAATAAAAAGGACACTGGTTGCATCTGCACACATAATGTACCTGTATGATACATTGTCTTTGGCTATTGAAGCCACAATATCACAATGGATACGGTGGGTTTTGCAATTAACATAACGCCTGGCGGTCGCAGGTGTGCATTTGCATGAGTCAGTCCAGTTTGTTGAGGAGAAGACAGATGAAGTAGGGGGGGCTATGGGGGGGGGGGCTATGGGGGGATTATTAGATCCATGACTTTCAGTTTACTGGGGGGGGGTGCTTTGCAGGTGTCACATTTCTCTGGCTTTCCAATATTACTGGAGCGTTTGTTGATTGCATTTTGTCAGGCACCCTGTTTGGCAGAATAATTAGTTGATTGTAAGGGGAGATGTGAGGCCATAGAGCAGAGAGTAGAGGGGAGGGGTTCAGTTACAGGAGAGTGGGGGGGGGGGCACAGTGGATGGGAGGGGCTTAAAGGGTATGGGAGGGGAGGAAGTTTTGAACTGTACAGTGGAATCTCAATAAGTCAAACCTCAGGGGAATTGGCTCAAATTTTGAGTTAAGCAGAGTTTTGAGTCATCCAATGGATTTTCTAATCAACAACAATTGGCGGGAATAAGTTTTTACTTTTGAGTTCGAAGGGTTTTTGAGTTAACAGGTTTTGACTTATCGAGATTTCACTGTACAATGTACATGTGTATACGGTATGCAAAGTGCATTAAGGGTGAATGGGTAAAACATGCTGTTCATGTTAAGATATACCTGTATGCTTGCAAGCATTTTACAACACAGAGGCAGCTGATGAACATATACTGTAATTATTGCTCAGACGGAACGTAAGGCAGTATTGAAATTACCTGGCCATGGCTACAATGGCACCTGCGACTATGGAAACAGTTTAAGCTACCGGAACTTCCTACACACATGTGTCTTACTGCTGGAAACAGCCAAATTATGTTGCGTAAATAGAAGCAGCACTATACAAGTCCATTAAGGTTGCACTGCACATGGAGTGAAAATACAAAATGGAATCAGTGTCCAGATTATTTAGACATACTTTGTTTTTAGCACAGAAGTGGCGGTAAATGTTTGAATGAAGACAAACGTTTAGGACAGTTCTGTTAATTAAAAAAGAATGATTTGATAATTTTGTCTTCATTTTGTGCATTTTTCAGGAGAAAGCATGTAAATGGAAGACAGAATTTGGCATGGATGGACTGACGACAAACGGTGTTCTCATCATGAGACCTAGGGGTGGGTTCCAGTCCGATGCTAGGCCCGGTGTCTGGAGGGAGGTCTCTGTAGGTGGAAATATCTACTCGTTACGAGAGACTAGATCATCACAACAAAAAGGAAAACTGGTAAGCACCCCCTCCCCCCTAATAAAAGAGAGTACACAATTCACAGCTATGCTACCAGTTACCACATTCCTGGTTATTTTGTTCGTCCTGTTGTGCATCATTTTATCCCCCGCATATTGAATGGGATAATGACATCATGCTTGTTTACATGTGCGCTTTCCTATGGGAGCTTGGTGAGTCTTGTCCCCACTTGTCTCCAATAGGAAAGCACACATGTAAACAAAGCGTGATGTTATTATGTCTCAGGGCCGTTGTGTGCAAATGTTTTGCGTTTTTTGCGTATTTGTTTTGCGTTATTCGCATATTTGCTGAGTAGAATTTAGCAGGGTACCAATTAAAGTAATATCTTACACTGACAAGTTAAGTGGTAACCTGATTTCCATTTTGTTTCCTGCTGGTCCCCGAGAGCCAGCTTAGCGTCCCCTTTATACTTCACTGACTGATTGACCGACTCTCCACCTGTCTCACTGAAATAGACTGGTTGCCAATCCCACCATTACATATCACTTACACTGGTCTGGGACCGGCATTATGAAGCTTGCCAATTCATATCATGTAGGATCCTGTAGACTAATTCTGCCAACAAGATTAGAAGCCATTTTGAGGTGGAACCACGTCCGCGCGCATTCCATACACATTGCTTAAGACGAGGTGCGTGTGCATTTTGTTAACCCTATTGGCCGAAGGAGCCCGGAGTGCGTGCGTACTACCTCAGCGCGATTCACGTGAGCCTGGTGCAACCTTAGAAAATGGGTGTTGCCAAATTAGTCTGTACCACACGTGTGTGTTAGTCTTATGCTCTGCTTGTTTCATACTTCCATTACACATGTGCAGGCAATAAATTAAGTCGCCACTCTACAAACTTTTTAGCCATTTTTAATCGATTGAATAGAATTCTGTGCACTCTGGGACCAGCTTTACTAGACTTGCCTTCTGTTGTTACTTTTGCACGCTTGAAACCTTTTAAAATTAGCAGTATGAGATGAGGTCATCATTGGCAGTGATGGATGGTGCCAAACATAGACCATCTGTCAGGGGATTGGGAGGCTTTGACCAAACTTCTGTTTTGTATTGTGAAATGATTGATGACAATGGTAATGGACAACCATTACCCCCAGCTTTCACGTCCATTTATACCTCAAATTGCTCTGTAAACTTCTCATGAAACCAGACATTAAAAGCCTCAGCTGCTTGTAAGGTACTGCTTTGGGAATTGCCAGATGTGTGTGACACAATATCCACTCCGGTACCAGTCCAAGTCCATTTCCAGTGATTCAGCGACAAGAATTGGTTGATGAACTCATCCACATCGGCCGTGGAGCATTGTCAGTTCTCCCCATTGCCCAGTACACGCCAGCTGGCTTCACATCAATACACCCAGACCTTCTGAAGTCAGTGATTTATGACTCAATGCAGCAGGAAAGACCAGAACGCTCCGTGCATTAATCATAGCCCATCATGAATCATGCTTGCTGTCCTAAACAAATGCTGCTTTCTCAGAACAAGAGACTCATCATGGGTAAAGCCTTGTGTACAAAATACACTTGTACATGATATGTACATGTACGTGTATGTAGATTTATGGTTTTCAGAAACGGTGTTTTGAAGCAGAACTTTCTTTGAAATCCCTCCGGAAGGACATTCTGGATATATTATTACAGAACGTCTTGCATTTATTTTTGAAACACAAATTCAGGTTGTTGTCTGCTTGAAGGCCCAAATTGACATCAGTTGAGGTTTTTCTGTGAAAGCATGTACATGTATATTTAGAACCACATGTCATGTGCAGTCATGATTGATTGTGACGGGGACAAAAAGTGATGTACAGAAATGTCCCGCGGCAAATTTCTCAACAATTCTGTTTTCAACATATGCACTGTGTATTCATATTATTCCAAATACCAGTACTTGAAGTTACATTTATTGTATGCGCAACGTATTCTGGAGAGTAATGTCACAGCATTTTTTCATAGAATGGATGTCGTAAACCCGCCGTTACACTGTTGAATAAATCAAACAGCACATCTGATACATGCCTTGTCAAATACTGAAGACAAAATTGTTATGGACCATAAATGTTTATGTGTGATAATACAGTGTATACATTATCTCTCACTGCTCAAAGCTAGTACCAGCATAAGTTTTGATATACAAAAAATATCTAAGTTTACAAGCCGTGAATTTTAATGATCTGTTTGGTCTTGCCGCTGTTTTGTATTGACATTATACACAGGAGCTGGAGTAGCTAAAGTCAACAGAAAAAACATAAATACATTAGCTTGTGCATTTTGGTACCATTTAATAACGTCTTTACAGAATGTATAAAATATTACATTGTGGGTTTCTGTTCCCTGTTGGCCTTGGCATTTTAAAATATTTTTATACCCTCTCAGGCAGTAAAATTTCATAGGTCTTCAGTCATTCCAATTTAGGTATTTATTTTAAAGCCAATGCTTTTGAAATCAACGCCTTTATATTTTTTATTTCACTGACAGACATTTTTGTAGAAAAACACAATTTTAGCTTGTGACTGTCTCACATGCCATTTTTCTGTCTTTTGTTGAAGATTACAGAATACAATTTGCATCAGTGCCATGATGTAGTGACATTAAGAAAAAAGTCACAATCTTTCAGAGATGTCATCAAGTCATGAGACGTCAATCACAAGTCGGTCACAAGTCCAGTGACAAACTACAGATCTTGAAATAAACTGACAAAAAAATGACTTTGTCAATGTCGATCACTCGTTAATACAAGTTGTATTATATTGGTGATCTGACTTGTGATTGACCGAAATAGCCAAACCATTGATACAAAGTTGAACAATCATTTTCTTACTAATCATCTTTTCTTTTTTTTTCTTCCGTTTTCCTGCACAGATTGATGATGAGGACAACATTCTTGAAGATGGCACACTCATTGATCTGTGCGGTGCCACGTTACTATGGCGATCAGCAACTGGTCTACTCAAAACACCAGTAAGTCCTCTGTCAGGTTCCATTTAGTACCTAAGTCTTCCTAGAGGTACTAAGGAGAGTGCCAATGATGCTTGTTAAAACAAAGATGTACTCAAAATACCAGTAAGTCCTCGCTCAGGTTCCATGTAGTACCTAAGTCTTCCTAGAGGTACTAGAGGAGAGTGCCAATGATGCTTGTTAAAGGGAAAATACAACATTTGCAAACATCAAAAAATAAAACTACCAAATCATTTTGAAATACCTTGCTGGACTGTTAGTGAATGACAGTGTAAAGCATCCTGTAAAATCATGGCACCTGGTTTACTGTCATTTTCAAGAAAAGTGGTATTTTTGTATCAATTTCCAACGCTGATCGGCCGATCAGCGTTGGAAAAAACTGGCTTTTTTTCAAATACTGGCCCCAGTTGACCATCGCACTTGTTTGCAATCGATTACACACCTATGAACGGGTACAAGCCATCTAGACTGGTTCCCTGATCTTACAATTCCCCAATATATGTAAACTGCTCTGTTTCTTCTTAAATGGAGTCAGGGAACCAGACTATAGGGAAATGATTGTTTTTCTTGGTTTTTATAGCATTTTCGAACCCAAAACCTCAAAAAAGTCAGTGTAACTATATTTGCTATATATTTCCAACCCCCCAATTCCATCCATTTCTGAAAATTACAGCAAAAGCAAATGATGTATATTCCCTTTAAAACAAAGATGTACTCAAAACACCAGTAAGTCCTCTGTCAGGTTCCATATAGTACGTAAGTCTTCTTAGAGGTACTAAGGAGAGTGCCAATGATGCTTGTTAAAACAAAGAAGTACTCAAAACACCAGTAAGTCCTCGCTCAGGTTCCATGTAATACCTAAGTCTTCCTAGAGGTACTAAGGAGAGTGCCAATGATGCTTGTTAAAACAAAGAAGTACTCAAAACACCAGTAAGTCCTCGCTCAGGTTCCATGTAGTACCTAAGTCTTCCTAGAGGTACTAAGGAGAGTGCCAATTATGCTTGTTAAAACAAAGAAGTTCTCAAAATACCAGTAAGTCCTCGCTCAGGTTCCAAGCAGTACCTAAGTCTTCCTAGAGGTACTGAGGAGGGTGCCAATGATGCTTGTTAAAACAAAGAAGTACTCAAAACACCAGTAAGTCCTCGCTCAGGTTCCATATAGTACCTAAGTCTTCCTAGAGGTACTAAGGAGTGTGCCAATGATGCTTGTTAAAACAAAGAAGTTCTCAAAATACCAGTAAGTCCTCGCTCAGGTTCCATGTAGTACCTAAGTCTTCCTAGAGGTACTGAGGAGGATGCCAATGATGCTTGTTAAAACAAAGAAGTACTCAAAATACCAGTAAGTCCTCGCTCAGGTTCCATGTAGTACCTAAGTCTTCCTAGAGGTACCGAGGAGGATGCCAATGATGCTTGTTAAAACAAAGAAGTACTCAAAATACCAGTAAGTCCTCGCTCAGGTTCCATGTAGTACCTAAGTCTTCCTAGAGGTACTAAGGAGGGTGCCAATGATGCTTGTTACATGACAAAGAAATGCCACGATACTAGCTCAATGTGCATGAGCTAGTATCTTGACTCCGTTTATGAGCTGTGTGCATATCTGTGCACTCTATGGTTCTTGAGATGAGGGCTCTTAAAAGTGCCCAATCTCTCCGATACAAAATTCCATCATACAACCGAAGGTCACGTTTTTCCTATCTGCATTGTGGACCAGACTTAAGCAGTGACTTTTCTAAAGTTAAAACAATCATACAACCAACAGTCTCTTTTGTGACTTTCTCTCCCAGACCCAGAAGCATCTTGAGCTGTTACGACAAGGCATCAATGACAGCAGGCCACAATGTCCTATTGGCTTCAACACACTCGTCCTCCCTAAACATAGACATACTTCCAAGGTTAGTAGTGCAAACACCCCCTCAACGTTGAAAATGACAAAGAGCATTGATATTGAAGAACACATAAAGGCATACATATGTAGGATCATTGGCTTTTCATGCATTTTGTTCGTTTCCAATAATAACACCACTCAAAATTCAAAGAAGAGTGTTCAAAACTCAACCTGTAGAAGTTTCAGTTCAATGGATATTTCACTTTTCCGAGGAAAACGTTGGAAAAAAAAAAACATGCACAACCTTTTGATCACAAAACACGATTTCGATAATATGTACACTTTATTTCCAACGATCAGTTAATTCAAATGTAAAGGCATCATGCCAAATGATTTTGAAATAGACTCACTTTCGAAATTTGAATGAGAATTGTTTGTTTTTCTGTTGGCACAGATTGTAGATGAGAACTCCAAGCAGCCTTATGCTTACCTCAAATGTGGTCACGTCCACGGATATCATCAGTGGGACAGTAAGAGTACACAACAGAAGATGGAGAGAACGTGTCCCATGTGTAGGGAGGTGAGAGGGTGTCTTGTCTCGTCTTGCTTTAATCATAGGGCAAGTTTGATTAGGAACTAAAGTTAACCAAATTTGGACTAACTCTGCTGGAACGCTGGTTAGTCAACAAATGGTTTGACTAGTCTAGTTGTCAATTTGTGATGTAATTTAGTTGTCAATTTGTGATGTAATTTTACGCCTGTGCTTTTATAGCAATGTGCGAATGCCTCTAGTTGTTGCCAAACGCTGGTCAAACGTTATCACAAAATTGTACATTGTGATGCGTGAAGCTGATGGTAACCACAATGCTACTGTGCCCTGTGGTCCGGTTCCAAATAGTCGACTAGAGTAGTGCAACCATACTTCGTTTGAATGAAGTTACTCAAACTGTGGTTCACTATAGTTTGCGCCCGAACTGTTAGTTGACTATTTGGAACTGGCCTAATGGAGGGTTGGTTGCGTCACTGGTTACCAATAACTGTGTGTATCATTATGCACAGCAGGGAGCCGGGATCAAGAAGTTTTGTGATGACGCTTTGAGCATCGTTTGATTAAAGATCATATCCCGTCCTCTTCAAAAATGGATTTTTTTTTCTCCTAACAATTCTCAATTTGTATGGTATGTTTTAACAAACAAAACCTACTTTATTCTGATTTTGAGCGTCTGCAGCTCTCTGAAAAAAGGGCTTTCATATTCATACAAGCGAACCAGCCCTGCGAGAGGAGAATTATTGTCTGGCAGCCAATAAAATAATGTTTGTGAAGAAATATTCAACAACTCAATGTTGGTGAGGTTTTTTTTTATTCGATAGCTCATTCAAAAGTGAATAACTTTTAAGATTTTTAGGAAAATAGCAATTGAAAAAACAAATGTACTTTTTTAGGTGAATCTCGATAAAAAGCCGAGGAGCATGTTAAAGACGTTCGCATGTTGCTGTCAGTGTGTAATCATAAGTTGCATCACGAATTATCCACTAGTCGACCAATAATCCCTGAATGAACTTGTTCCTAAATGCTCCTAGATCCTTCCAAATCACGGAAGTCTTGGATGGATTTTGCAGGAGTGAACTAGGGTACAGCCCAGCCACTATCACTTTACACGGCGATTGAACATTGAAGTATTTGTCTTGGGATCTTGTACGGTGGTAGATTTTTAGCAAGGAAGCTTCTTTGATCCACAAAAATCCAACAGTGCACTCTGTCACATTCTGTGTGCATAAAAAAATGTACATGTACATAAACAGAGTTGGACCAATAAGAATCATCAGGCCCTTTTGCTAAATAATAGTGACGGGGTTTTACTCACATTAACATACATGTATCCAAAATATTGCAAAACTGTCAGATTTTTGAAGATTTTTGGCACTTTGGTTAGTGAAACACGGATGTTATTCTCTACACTTGCAGTTTACATTTTGTATTAAAAAAATGGAATTGCGAATTTGGCAATTGGGAATTTTTCCAATTGTGATTCTAAATTTACAAGTATTTACAAGACCAGAAATGGCTTAGGTTTGCTCTGCAGTCCGCATGTTTGCTGCCCTCTATTGACGTATATCCATGCATTGAACTAAAGAGGGCAGCAAACATTTCTATCCCTTCAATAATGTTTCTCACCAGCATTTCCTATACCACATTTCTTCCTTTCTCTGACAGGCCGGTTCCTACGAACCTCTCATCATGGGCAATGAGCCTAGCTTCTATGTCGACTCAGGCAACCCAACGCATGCATATGTTCCCTGTGGTCACGTGTGTTCTGAAAAAACAGTCAAGTAAGTACAATTTCCCCTGTTTTCCTGGCATTTCATAGAGTGTAACTGTTGACATTTTTTTTCCAACATTTTTGGAGAACGATTATACCAAGTGGTGTACTCTGTGGAGTCTGTACGGCAGTCATACATTGACTTGAGAATTGATGTCACGTGAACTAATCTCAACCAAGTGACATTGAATCAATGTGTAATCATAAAATCAGTTAGAATCTTATAATGTCATTCTGGTCTTAATCTCCAAAATCCAAACAACTTATTATCTATTATAAGATGGAATTTTGCGTCGGGGTGATATAGATCAAATTAGGTTTTGCCCTTCACCGACGTTTTTAAACACTGTATACTCAGTTAGTATACAGTGTTTAAAAAACGTCAGTGAAGGGCAAAACCTAATTTGATTTAACTTATTATCTAGTTTTATTCACCTCAAAGTGCAATGCTTAATCCAGGCTTGTCTTTCCTCAGATTAATTAACCCTTTTAGATTTGTGGTCCAATTTGAATCCAGTTAGTTGTAACTTTAATCTGATCTTAATCACAATCTTAATGCCATCTTATCTCTCTCTATCTCTCCACAGATACTGGTCGCAGGTACCCCTCCCGCATGGTACCCATGCATTCCAAGCTGCCTGTCCATTCTGTGCAATGCCTCTCTGCGGGGATACCGGTTACATCAAGCTCATCTTCCAGGAAGCTATCGACTAAACTCTTACGGAAGGATGATCAAATCCAGACATGACAATCAGGGTGATTTAAAAACAAACAGAAGAAACAATCCCTCCACAATGCCAACCAAAGTTGTAATTGTTTACAAGCCGGTCTTGGGTCAGGTCTCACATAACAAACTTAAATTCAACAAGTTCGGGTGCGAACTAAAATGTACAATAGTTCTTACTTGACTCGAACGAAGTTCTTGTCAACTGTATGGAAGTTCCATTGCCGGTTACCAGTAGCTGTGCGCATCATGAAGCAACAGAAAAGTGTCGTGATGACGTTTTGGCCATCGTTTGGCTAGAGGCGTTCGCGTGTTGCTATTGGTGCGCAGGCGTACGTTACGTCACAAATCAAGCACTAGTTGACTAATGGTCCTTGCCTGAACTGGCTCCAAGTTGGTCACTGGCCGGGTTTTGTTTGTTTGGCACTGTGGTGCAACCTCACGCTGCATAGTACGCCATAGAGAAAACATGCGAATAAGTTGGCTCCAGTTACCTATTAGATGCTTTATAACCCAACAGATGATAATTACGTAGTGCTGCACTAGTGCATATCGATGGTGCCAACAGACAAAACACGACTAACAACTTGTCATCATAATGCCTTTGAGAAAGACACCTTTTCAGTTTTTTATGTTGGACAAAGAAATTGACTGGAGCGGGGTTTGAACCTGTGACCTCCGGATTGCCGTTCCGGTGCTCTACCAACTGAGCTATCCAGCCCTATGTTGGTGGTTCCCCATGTTGTCAATGTCTTTGTTCAAGGGGCGCTAGTCAGAAGCCAAAAGATGCACCTAGTCAGTTTTTGTGGTTCATTTGAAAAATTTGTCATCAAGTCTAACACATGAGGAGATGATACCGGTACTGTTTATGGTTATAGCTTGCTGCTTGACGTGAGACAGACTTTCCATCAACTGCTGGATATTTCATGAGTTTGACCACATACCATCATCCCACATTTACAGCAACTTTACGCATTGACAAGCATCTATCACTGCTATTGTGGCCCATCCTACATGTCTATACTCGGCCAGGCATCATAACTGCTGCTGTACTGATATGTCGGTGTTGCCTTAGTATGGTGTGGAACATGTGCTGTGTCCATTTACATTATGTACTTTCTCCTGTTGACCACCAGAGCATACTGAATGAAACATCAAGTTATTACATCTTTTCTACGCAGAATCATCTCTCTGTTTAAGAGATACATGTACATTGTGTATCTAAACACATCTGCCTAATTGTACTTTTATTCATGCAAAGCCTCAAACTCAGATTCATTTTTGTTCCGTTTCAAAACTGTCTGCTACCAATCACAACTTGCTCTTGTGTGAAGGTTTCAAATGATAAAGATGAATTGATAAAAGGTAGTTTTCACACAATACTGTATTTGACTTCAAAAGTCTTGGTTTTCATCAGTATGCATTGGTAATCTTTATAGTACTGGTAAAGTGGTACATTATAAAGGACAACAAGAAAACAAAGACATCTTAAACCATTTGATCTTGTTTCAAGTCTAAGGATCTGCAGCCCAGCTTTGTTGACAAACCGTGACCTTGTGAAAAAGTTTGATAACAGAAATTGTTGCAAAGCGTTACCTCAAAAATGTTTGTGAAAAAAAGTATTTATTTTTGTTATTTGGCAAAGTCAAGAAAATGAAAGTCAATTTCAAGATAAAAATTATGAAGTAAAAAATGTATCCTCTTTGTCCAAGTTTTGTTGTTGGAGTCAAGTACATTATGGCCGAGTTCAGAAACATGTTACTGATTTTTATAACCTGTGTACTATTTAAATATCAGATGAGCAGCATTGTAAGCCAGTAGTGTTCGCAGACTCACACTGTTCTAGAATTGTGACATTGGAATGAGCGAAATGCAAACTGTAACATTTGTTGTACATGTAAGTCACCACCTATAGCAGCTACTTGTACTCGCAAGGCGCTTGAAACCACAGTTTTCAGAGCGATCATCCCTGAATTCACAGGGTGTGTAGAATATGCCTGCCGTTCCAATCAGCATAGAATGATATATAACATTCACAAAACGGATCTTTGTTAAACAAATGCTTGGCCAAAGTTACATCATTCAGCTCTGAGATCATGTTGCCGTTGCACACTCAGAGCAGCTTGTAAAGTTGTCATCCAAACATGAAACCAACTTAAGAATATGCTATGTGATGCATTGTACACAGCCTCATAGTGTGATGTGGCAAAGCTTACAAAACCTGCTATAATGTAGTATGCATGTACCGATAGGCTGAGTATCTTAAAATATTTGCACCTACCATCGCAGCTATGATGCATTGTATGGTCAAAAAGTCCTTAAAGAACAAAATGACTGAGTACAAGTTTTGGGGCCGTATCATAAGTCCGACGCCTCATACAGTAGGTCCGACGCCTCATAGGTCTGACGCCTCATAAATCCGATGTCGGAAAAACGAGGCGTTTAAATTGTCAGACCTACGAGCATCGGAGCTATGAGGCGTCGGAGCTATGAGGCATTGGACCTATGAGGCGTCGGACTTATGGGCCTTTATTTGGTTAGGGGATGCGATTTTGTCGGACCTATGAGGCATTGGACTTATGAGCGGACCCCCAAGTTTTGTGAATTCTGCCGAAGCTTGTCTGACTTCAGTGTGTTATATTATATCTATCACTGCCACGTCTTGATATTGGAGTAACATGAGTTAGTCCTACATTGTATGCACCTTGTCTTGAATATGTCTCGCACATGCTGGGAAAATGCCTATGTTACTTATCGATCAGTTTATTGAGAAGATATCATGCACTTTGTGAAGTTCTGTGAGGAAGAAAAAATAAACAGTATTTGATTTTAGTTGTAAAAACTAATTCTCCATATTAAACCTGGAATTTTCTTCACGCTTTAAAAAATGTGCAATTGATCTAGAAAAGCTGAAGAGATTTCCATACAAAAGGCAATTGGATAGCAAAGTTTTATCCAAAAGTCACATTGTAGATACTTCTGTTCGATTGAATTTTTTAGGTCTGTGTTCTTATCATAAAATGACACAAATTGGCATTGTTTATGATGTTATATACACACCTTATTGTTAACCTTTTTGGTACAAAATGCCTCGTATGAATCTGCCCTGCAGTGGTTGTATTTTTTTGGCATAATGTGCATTTATTTGTATATAATTTTCTCCATTGTAAATTGATAAAAAGTGCATATGTAATTGATGAATGAATGGAATTTACCCTTAGAAAGGTTAAAGTTTGGAGAGTTCTGATGAAATATTGTGAATGGTGGGTTTGCAAATTATCTCCTTGATGGATAGTCTGGGGGAAGTTGACTGCATGTGTAATACATTTTTTTAACCAAATATTTTGTGAAAAATATTTATTAATATTTTCAATTCAAGTAAATGTACACTGGGGATTTTTTTTTTGGGGGGGGGGACCTTGTTCAACCAGTTCGCGCCGGGATTATTTTGTCAGTGAACAGACCCAGGCGCGGGATTGTTTCTCACGAACCTCGATGCCAGACGGGTTCAGGACATCATCACCCTGATATTTCCGGCCTCGCTCGCTGCGAACGGGTCGCTGACAAATATTTCCAGCCTCGCTTGTTTCGTGTTTATATCCATCATCCGTTCCGAATACTGCAAAACTTGTGCGTGTATACACGTCATCCAACGTGAACTGGTTAACAGAAGATGAAAAACGTTTCATTTGGATTTGGTTTTGTTTATATTTTCTGTTTTGAAGATCCAGGTGTACATGTATAAACATTGTATTTATTCATGATTAGAATCAATTATATTCTCATGTTTTACATGAATGCAGAGCCTGCCATCATTTTTAGTTTTTTTTTTTGTAAAAAAAAAGGAAAAAAGAAGGAAATTTCATGCTTTTTGGTGAAACCTCTGCCTTATTTTTTATTCATGTTTAGGCATAGCATCTTTTTTATAAATAAATATTATGTAGTAACTTATTTTTTAGCTGAAATGTAGATTTTATTGAAATGTTCCCAGAAGCATGCATTGCTCTTTATTTGTAATTGTTTTTACAATAATGGAGGACGTGTAATGTAACTTGACTGACACCAAGCTCACAAGTGTAATGTGTTTGTGAATCCAATTTATATAATCAATTTGAAATGGGAAAAAGACAAGTTGTTATGAAACACAGTCTTTATTTTGAGGTTTGAAAGAAACCTGTTTGCATTGTTCTTGTGATGCTACATGTAATAACAGGCTGAGTTAAGACATAATGACCATTACACCATGTGTTTAGCAAAAACAAGATGAAGCAAGCTTAGTAAAGCTGGTCCCAGAGTGTTCAAGTGGTAATCCTATATGATAGCACTGCCCGGCTCACAAATGACAGTCAGTCAGTCAGTCAGTCAGTCAAAGTGTGAATCAGTATGGGCTCCGTGCACAAGTACCCCCTCAACGGTAAGGAAGGGAGAGTTGGGGGAGACCACTGGGAGATAAATTCAAACGCATTGCTGTCAACGCCTGACGCTCACGCAAAGTCACTATGGCTTTGTGTACAATCAGAATAGAATTGGTCATGCGTGATTTGTGCCATACTCACGCCAACCAGTATGCACACACGGTATGCCCCAACAGTGGAGGTCCCTAATAGTGGTAAAAAAGCGCCCTCTCTTTCGTGCATGGAGCCCATACTGTAGCCCATAGCTAAACATCTGTAGCAATGTTGGTCAAATTCGAGTGAAACAGATTCTGTCCTTGGAGTTAGTTGACATTAAGGTCGGTGCACTTCTTAAAAAAAAAAGGTTGTATCTCCTATCTTGAAATGTTTCTGTTTCTTGTGGAAATCTTTCTCTACAGTACGGCTTGTTTCCAATAGAAATAAGCTGTGTTGCTGGAATGTATCCATTTTATTGGCTGCTCCCATTTTGCAAAGACAGGATTGGGCTAATGGTCCCAGTGAATTGAAACAATCAGGACCTGGGTATCCAGTACATCTGAGGACTTGAACAATGGGTTTCCTGCGATAACAATAACCCGAGGACCTGAGCCAAGTCCTCAGAATGTTTTCATGTACAAACCTTATGGGACATGTCAGGAAAGAAATTGTAAGGGTCCTCGGTCGTATAATTACAAAAACCTGATGTGGGTGTGTTCTCAGTTGGAACAGGCAGCATTTCCGATGGCACGTTCCTAACATTTCTGAAAGTTTGAACCCTTAAATGGACATGGAAGTTGACTTGTGAGTCTTTTTGTTGTATGCATTGAGTTTTTGTTGGCGGTTGCTGTTCACTTGTTTCAGTTTGTGGTTGTCATGTTTCATACAGGCTTTAGTCATTTGTTATGTGTGTTTTTGCATTGCAAGGAACTGATGGAATTTGTACACAACATGGAAATAAAGATGGGACTAAACTTGCATAGTAAAGCTATACGTATGAATGTGTAACGTCTGATTCTTGGCTTGTGTACTTTTTTGTTTTTTTAGAGTTATGAGCCCCTTGCACAAGTTCCCTCTCAGTACAGCAGTGAAATGTAAAGCTTACTGTCAATGTCATCTAACACTAGACAGGCTCGCGTGAGTCGCACTCAGGTAGTACACATGCAGAGCAGGCTCCTACCAATAGACCTTTATCATGCTGCCACCATTTCAGTCTTGTTCCCTGTATCCGATAACAGCGTTGAATGATGTTTCTGTGCAAAAAGGAACCAGACTATTTTTCCTTCCAGCCTCGCTTTGGTTACGTTGATTTGAATGGGAAAAAATCAAGATGGCCGCAACATGATAATGGTCTATAGGGTTACCATAATGAGCATGTCTTGTCTTTAAGAACGCGAGCAATACAGCAATGGGATCACGCACCAGCATAGATGGCTGTGGCTGACTACGGTCGGTCCTTCAGTGCAAATGGCTGGATTGGCTGCCTTGCTTGAAGTGTGCATTGTTGAAGATCTGACATCATAGTTACATGTAAAGCAAACGCATCTCACATGGCGATGTAACTTGTAATTGTACAGGCCTTATTCTTGAACTACAATGACACTATTTGGGGGCATAAATTGTGTTGATTGTATATTTGGTACAGCTCAAAAATTACAAATTTTTTTTAGAATTAAGTAGTTTCTATACTGCTTCAGTATGCAGGATTTTATTAGTTTTGGTCACTGATATCCATGTTCAAAAATCCGGATAGCTCATGCACCATTGCATTTGTACACTAATTTGAAGCCGCGGCGCTGGTTCCAAATCTCTCAAGTTGAGTATGGTATGGAACCAGTTAAACTACTCCCATCGTACCTTTTTTAACAAAATTTAAAAAGAATTAAAGTTATTAAATTATTCAGAATTTAATATATAAAAAAGTCTACAATTAATTTTTACTAGTTAAAAAATAAATAGGCCTACTTTTAATTAAAAGGTCAAGATTGCAGTCAAGTGTAATAGAATGGATTTTTTTACAATTCCATAATGGGAGTAGTAATATGGCGGTCGGTGACTTCCCTACTTACAGCCAATGGGCAATCCAAATTTTTTTGTAGAGATTAGTGGTTTTGGGACCCAGAAAGTGATGTCGTTACACTGCCTTCATTGTTAAAAAAAAATTGGGTCTGAAATCAACACTTCGTTCATGGTTCTCCAAAGGTACAGGACCCCACTACAATGTACTACAATTCCATACCTGATTGCAACAAAGAACGACACAGCACTGACAACACCAATCAAGTTCATCCAGATTGACTTGTGTAGATATTTAATTTGCAATAAAATTTACAGTTCATTTTCAGTTTGTGGTACAAGAGCATAACTAGAATGAATATTACATTTATTGTCTCAATTCAAGTTCAAGAGCACACAGATTTATAGTCAGCATCGTGCATGAAGATATACATTTTAATGATAATGTCATCTGAAAGTTATAATCTTATGTAAAACATATTTCACATTTTGATAATTTGGAAGATATAAAATTAAAAACTAGGTCTTTTATAAATGTACAATGCCTTTCACTTCTTTCTTCAAGGCAATAAAACTTTTATAGGACTCCGCAGAGAAGCCTGAACAATCATAACATTTATGAAGAAAAACGAAATACAAACACTGAAAAGTAAACACAAAAATGCACAGTTTTTGTATACAAGTTTTACACTTCAAATTATCAAATTAAAAAAAACCAAGAACCCAACATTCGGAAGTGTGCAACATAAAGAATATATCCTCAATTTAGCCCGCCACCCCAAACATCGTATTTGCTCAAACCATATAAATGAAAACTTCCTACTGTTTTGATAAAGATCATGCAAAGTATAGATGCTCTGTAGTTACTATAAGTTTTTCCAGCATTTGTTCATTATTTCAACGCAAAGATTCACATGGGCTACAATGTATGTTTGGCCATCCAAAAGTGCCATCACAGTTTCATAACAGCAGCTTTTTAAAAATGGTTTCCATGCGCCTGATGTCTGAGAGCACTCAGTGGTCGGTTAACTATACATTGCTTAGTGTGCCTGTAACAAACAGGACTGAAGGTTACTCTTTTAAAACCAAAATCTTTTGCAGCTGAGCTGAAGTTGTAAGATATTGAGGAAGGGCACAGCCTTTATTTTATAAGTGAAAAGTTAAAAGTTTGTCTGAAACAAAAGTTTTTCCATATTATGTTCATGTTTTTTTCTTTCCCTAAAGAGGAAACCCCCAAAAAACTGGCAAAATCCCAAGTGCATAACAGCGTATTAGAAACAGACTAGTGGGTTTTTTTAATCAAAATTTTGGTGATACAGTTCTGAATATTGGCTACAATTATTAAAACTACATTGTATGTATTATTAAATAATAATTTTGGCACCAAGTATGAAAAAAAGGAAACACCTGAATGTTGGTATGCAGGCTATTATTAACCCTAACCTCCCTAAACCCATCAAATCCCAACGGCATTTTTATTGGAATCTGTCGGGATGGGTACAGTACCCCTAAACTGACAGTCTTTTACATTGGGTTGGCACACCTCCTGAATCAAAGTGAGAAATATGTGTGTGCAGTTTCCCATATGGTGTTGGAATTTGCCAGGATGGGTATGGTTCCTAGTAAATCATGCTGGGGAGTTTGGGTTAATGGGTTTTACTTGCAAAGTTTTCCTGCTTTTACTTGTCGTTGGGAATCATTCAATATGGGATTCCACCAAATTTAAGAATTTAAAAACAAACATAGATGCAAGTGAAAGAGCATTCAGTTTCACACATTATATAATACAAAACAATTTTGACATTGTGCATGAAACGAAAACAGGATCATGATTTCCATGTAGAACTGTGTAGCACGGAGAGGAAATTTTTCCAACAAATCAACATGGACCCTTGACGGAGAGAACTTTTTTAAGTCAAGGTGAGGCTGAAGCAAGTCTAATTAACAAGTGAGCGTGAGTCAGTAAGATTGGTACATAGAGGATTACTATACCTCATACATATTCATGATCGAGTGCCGAACTCTCACTGGTCAATTCACCACTACATGCCAGATGTTATTTTTGCTGTTTACCAAGCATGCACACGAGGATTCACGCACAGGGTAAATACGCATGCGTAGTAGACTGTCGCACGGGTTGCCCGTGCGACAGTCTACTACGCATGCGCTTTACAAAGCAATCGAGGAACTGTCGCACGGGTGTAGTACGCAGGTGTGAACATTGCCCAAGCGAGCTCGCAAGCTTGTGAGATACACAAGAAGAGATGGTTGCACGGTATGATACACTCAAGGGAGAAAATTCAAGTAAAATAAAGATGCCTCCTGTACAAAAGAAAGTTGTCCACAAAAAGCTATAGTGACTGTATTGTAAACCATAGAGCAAGGACCCAAGGAGTCAGAACTCTTGGGCGAATTACATTTTGACCATTAACATACCAATCCCTCGGAAATGTCTGAAGCTACAGCACTGTGACCGCAAGCCTCAACCATTCAAAGCGTGAATACCAGCGTGAACACGATGATCGTCGCCGCCTTTTTAGTTGGTAACCAACAACCTCCCTATATGCTGCATAATAAGTCATGTCACGTCGCTGCTCTTTTTTGAAAAATATATTTTACGACAAGATAGGTTTTTACAACTGCGCAGTTGTTAGATGTGAGTTACAATGTATGAACTCAAGTTAGCAATGTGCAGTTGTTGGTGCTTAAAAGCGTTATCTGTCCCTGTAATTTGGAGATAAATTGGATTTCTTTCAGATAAGTTTTCATGTATTTTCAGACATTTTAATTGGCAATATATCATTGATGAAATGTGTTTTTTTGGAAAATTTCACAAGTTTTCACACTAAAGGTACAGAGAATTTGTTCTTCATGAAATGATTGTTCCAGTGATGTTGACCACATTTATATACAGTATCATCCAACTGCGAACAAACACTTCAAAATCATTCATTTTTAGCGATGTATGACAACTGCGCATGCGAATTTACCATGGTACTGTCTACGAAGCCATGCAAACTCCTTTTCTGGCATTAGTGAGTGCGGATCTCTATTGTGTCGAGATTAGCGTAGTGAGCAACTGAGCAAGCTGGCGCCAGGTGCTTTCTATTGTAGCTTTCGAGCGCGGCGACCATCATTTTACTTTAGAAGTCTTGGAGTACGAACTCCTTGGAGTACGAACTCCTTGGGTCCTTGCTCTATGTGTAAACGAAATGAACTAGTGAAATTGAGTAATAATACTCTTTTGGTGAGCTGGACAAGTTTCTTTAAAGAGTTCGTTTTAGGTGCATACTGCAACAGAAAAAAAATCTGGAAAAAAAAAAAAAATCGGCAACAGAATATGTATGAGGTATAGTCAAACAAATATAACATGGTTTATTTCGGGTGGACAGTCAATATTAGCTCCCCTCGGTATTGGAAGTTGACAAACTAGCCGAGGATAGTTTGTCAACCTCCAATACGTCGGGGAGCGAATTTATCAATTGTCCACCCTCAAACCATGTTATATTTGTATACTGTAGGCTGGCCCTATGCGACCAGCAAAAAGTAGGGTAAGATTTGGGAATTTGTGTAAGATTAGGGAAGCTTGTGATGACCCCATGTGACTGTCCACCGGTAACTCGTGTTCAAAAGGTGACAAATTTTATTTTTAACCTTATTTGGTAAATCCTTCTTGGTTTAAAGCAAACACCACTTGCAATCATATAACCACGTAATTCTCACTGTTCATTGCAAAACCCAACAAATTTGTTCAGCGTGATGATAACAATGCTTTTATCAAGCGCACAGTTCAAGGGAGTTTAAAATAGCCACGGATCAAAGCAAATTCAAACTTTTCTGGCTAGATGTAGGTGAACTCGTCATATATTCTAAAATTAGCACTTTGGGTTGGCTTAATCTGGTACCATCAAAGGTACAACAAACTTTTTTGGGAAAATTTTCAGCCTAAAAGAACATCTGAAGAGTTTGTTAAACTGAATATCTTTTGTTATAAATTTCAACTTATCTTTTTTCTTTTGCAAAGAATTTCTAAAAGAATTCATCTTCAATAACAGCTGCTCATTTTAACATTGCATTCAACATGACCACTGAAAAGTTTAGGATTGATTAAATAGTTAACAGTGATCTTTAAATGATATCCCTGGCCCTTGAAATTTCCTTATGGGGAAACCGTCTGGGTTCACACTTGCCTTTCAAACTAACTTCAAGCTTTCAATAAAAGCCATTTTTTGCCTTGTTAATTTCTGAACGATTCATTGAAAATGACAAAATATGGCTCTATCTCACCCGACAGCTATAAATCGGGTTTGCCGATGACCAAATCTGATTAATGTCCAAAATGTCCCACTACCGGGTATGTTGAATTTGTGGGATTACAAATCGTACAGGTCAGGATTCAAAACATCTGCACACAAACTAAATCACAACAGAATCACCTATCTTGGTCTCTGAGGACTCTCAAACAATTGAAGAAAGCTGCAAGTGTAACTGTGTAAAACAATCAACATACTGGTTATTCTACATTTACAAATTACTGCATTATAGTGCATAATTTTGTGTTCCCATACAGTTCAATATTAGGAAATTGAGAAATGCAAATCCCATTAAACCTCACACTGAGGTGCAGCAAACCTAGACTCTCCCCCCCCCCCATGATACTGCTTGAAATCTGATGACCGCACCCACAGCCTCCTATACTCAGACCTCACCTATGACCCACAGCCTCTACTACTTGTTTCCATTATGCAGTGTGTTGTGAGGCCTCACGTGAGGGTTGCAATATCCCCCTCATGAGGTTGATGAGGTGTGGCACCAAAATGTGATTTACGAAGACTTGCATCCCTAAACTTCTTGAGGCATTCAAGCCAACAAGAATGTGAGCAGCTGAGGGCTTTTAACCCATTCTTGAGCCTAACAAGGATTCTGAGGTGCCCCAGAATGACATCCTTGAAGACACAGTTACCGGTAGCTTCCCAACTGATGACAGTTAAAGGAAATGTATAACTCAGTTTTAAAATGAGGATGAGGTCCCTCTCCTTGAACATGAATGAGGTTGGTGAGGTGAACTGCAGTGCTAGTCCTTTGTCTGTATCATGACCCAAACTACTGCCTTCCAATCAATGACCTACCATGAGCAAGTTTTTCCAAACCAGAAATCAGTAATGAGGGGAGGCTGAGGTCTCAGTAGGGGAACTACTTGTAGTTAGTTTGTGTTCTGTATAGGAGGTTTCTCTCCTTGTATGTGAACCTCTTTGGGTTTTCTGATGTGAAGTCTGCTTTCTGTATCTTGTCTTAATATATCATTTTGATCTACTTTGCCTTCTCATACCATCCTGAGGAATGATCTAGTTTCCAACCAAAAGAGTTTGATGATGAGGGCTGAGGTCCTTATGGTCCCCGATGATACTGCAGAGGTTATCCAGTTCACTGAGGGATGAGGTCTATGTATGTGACCCTCACTGAGGTTGCTGAGGTGCAGCCTGCTTTCTGCATCATGTCCAAACCTATTGCATTCTTGTCCATCCACGTCCTGTCCTACTGTCACGAAGCTGAGCTTGTTTCCAAGCCAAAGAGTTCAATGATGAGTGGGCTCAGGTCTCTCTCCTGGACCTGTACCTCCATGAGGTCACTGAGGTGCACCACGGCAATGTCTCTCATCTTAGTCAGCTTCATGATGAGTTTAGCAAAGAGCGTGCGGTCCTCCTGATGGAAGACTTTGGTGGCGGCGTGTAGCGTCTCCACGATGGATAGCTGGATCTCCTCAACCAGCTCGCGGTTCTGAAGCTCCGTCCGGTCTGGAAGGGAGAAGTTAAGATTTGCATTAGAGTAGAAGTAGCACATGGGACACACAGGCAGTTCATAAGCGAAGTTCCGCGATTGCGGGTTGGAAAATCAATTTGCCTTCAAGCAAACTTGAAAAATTTAACATGATCGTTATCAGATAGGCAATATGCTTTGCATTTATTACAACGTCGTGTTTGTGCAACGAGGTCATATCTCCTAAAATGGCGTGTGACGTCATGTATGTGAAAAGCAAGTTTTCAATATCAAAAGGTCGTATTTTGCTTAAAATATCTCGCATGTGCACACAAAGTCAATGGACGTCTCGATACGCGAGATACAACCTTGCTGCATGGAGCGTATTGGCCCGAGATACAACTTTGTTGCAGAATCGAGTTAAGATTTTGTTGCACTGACGTGATGACAATAATAAAAAAAGGTGTGTAGAATGAGGGCAAAATTCCATGAAAAAATTGCATTTTGTGCCATTGGTCGTTGTAAAGGTTTGACCAATCCGTAGAAGGAAAGTTTGGAGAAAATTTGTAAATAATTGTAACTGGGAACCATCACACAAATGACTATGACAAGACGTAGCATGTTTGTTACATCCTTGGTCATACTTTCTTATCAAATAATTTATGACCTGAAACTATGCCAAGGGTCTACCAGCCAACCACAGCTCAAACAAAAGACTTTCAGAATTTCATTTTTCCAAAATGATTTCGGGCCCAATACTAAGATCTGACAAGGGCCTTATTGTAAGCAAAAGCATCCAAATAGAAAAGACTAAAATGAAACCCAACATTAATTAATTGATGATATGGCAGGTGTACCTGGTGAGAGTATAGCCACTGCATTGAGTAGCGCAAATTCAGCTGTCGTCAACCCACATTCTTTCGTCTCCTTCATGAATTGGAAAGCCTGCTCCGGGAGCGAGGTATATCCCATCTGGTACATCATGTTGATGTGGAAGAGATCATTGGTCATCTCGTTCATGACGCATCCCATGTCCGGGACGTAGCTCTCTGCGCATCGTAGAAGCAACGCATCCATGATGCTGGCCTTGATGAGCACTGCCTGGTCATCACACATCAGATCCATGAATCCTGGGATGGTCTTAGCGAAGTGGATGGTCTGCTTGACGAGAATAGCAAACATGTCCATGGCTGTGTGAAGCAGCTCCTTGTGGATTGGAAGCTTCGGTTTGTCCGCTGGAGGTTCGTCTTCCTTCATGGAACCGTTCGTAATGAAAGAGGTCACGCGTTGGATAGACTGGAAAGCCCCGGTCTCTTTACTGTCACAATCCGAGGTGCTAGCTCGTGATGAATCTTCCTGGTCTACCGCTGGGGCGGCTGGGTTACTATCGCTGGCCAGCAATCCTAGAGCAATGTTTGATAACCCCGTAGGGAGGTAGTCGCTGAGATTAAAGCCTTCTGGAATGGTTAGTTCTCCTGAAGCCAAGGCATTCAGGGCTTTTGCTGGAGTCATTCCCTCTGGCAGGAGGGAGGTTAGAGCACTCAGGGGGATCTTGGGGATGGGATCGGTTGAGGATGGTCCTTGCATGTCCGACGTTGCTGCTGCTGCTGCTGCTGCTGCTTCTTGTGCAGTTGGTGGGAACAGTGATGACCCGGTGTTGCCGTTGGTCCCTTCAGGAATGGGGATAGACCCTGGGGCCTTGGGCTGTGAAACAGACAATATGTGGTTTATGACAAAAATGGAAAACTTATTCAAGGCTTCAAGTTTAGGTTTTGTAAGATGGAATTAAGCATCAAAGAGATCTATATTTTCACATTGTGTTTTGTCAATCACCAAGGTAATTTTTAAGTTTAGTTTCAGAGATTGATACTTCCTCTCCCTAACCTCTTTGTATTGAACTGCATGTAATCCGTGTAACAGGTTGGTACTGTATTGTTGATGTACCCTAACGTGGCGTGGCCCCTAACGTGTCGCACTTTGATTTTTCGCCTGCTAGAGCAAAATATTTACCTCAAATTTCACAGAAGGTGAAATATCATCAAGGTCTAAACATTCCCGTTCATAAATCTTGGGTTACATGTACGTACCCGCTACAAAGTTCCAGAGAAATTCTATTTTGGCGTCATGGTGTGATTTTCCGATTTTATTTTGCATTGCACAATGAACCCTTTTAAAATGCCCCCCAAAGTAAGAAAATAATTTTCTGACAAACTTGTAAGTGGGATGTGAGTGGAGATAATAATGATTTATCAGAATTTATCAACTTTAAAAAAATTCTTAAATGTTAACGTGAGATTTTCCGAGATTTGTGCGCCACATTAGTGAACAATCGGCCGAATTTGTGAACAATTTCCAGACGCCATCGTTTTTTAATTTGGGACTAAATTTCATGACACTGAAATTGTTCACGAAGGTTCAACAGCAAGCATTATTAAGGTAACAGTAACTGAATGAACTTGAAATTTTTCAACAAAGAGGTTTGGCAACACTGCATGAGGAAAGTCGACTCCACTATACTTACAAAGATATTCTTGAAGACCTCCTTGGATGCTAGGTAACCCTTCTCCAATCGCTCCACAAGATTCTGTTGATCCTCTGTCAACTCCCACTGTGGTTCAGTGACCGCTGGGGTCAAAGGCTGCATGGTGTTCAGGTCAAACCCAGGCATCATGACGCTACTCATCAGAGCCGCAATGTCAGGGGTCATGATCGGGGTCGCGTCAGTGGTCACTCCAGGGGTCGTCTCAGAGATCACATTGGGGGTCACATTAGGGGTCGGCACTGGGGTCACAGGGACCGGGGAAGGGGAGTTGGCAGCAGAGGTGTTAGTACTTGTTGGAGGTGAAGCCAGGCTTTTCTGGGCAGGGGCGATAAGCTTGGGGTCCGGGTTGGGCTGTTTTTTCTTTCGTTTGACTCGGATAAGCGTCTTCCTTGTTTTTAAGCGATTATCATCCCACACTCCTATAAAACAATAAAAAAAACAGACTGATCTTGTATAAAGATGACACACCTATTGTTAAGAAATCATGGTCAAACTAAAAAATGTCCATTTACAAAAGCCTCAAGAGTCTTAGTTAAAAATACATCTCTTTCACATTCTCTATGGAAGCAGAGAAGCAGGCAACAAACTACATTGCCACTAGCAATTGACAGGTGAGAAATTGGGCCAACCATGGGTACTATGGGGTGTTTGAAACTTGTGCTCTATATCGGCAACTGCTTCAGGAAATTTCAAGCCCTTGACTTGGGGAACTCCTAGAGTTGTAGTTGAATCACCCAAGTGGAGTCTCGCGTTACTTGGTTTGAGCCCGAGTCCAAGTTTCAAGTCATTTTGTTTCAAGTATGAGTCAAAGTCACGAGTCATTTGATTCAAGTACGAGTCCGAGTCACAAGTTTTTCGTTTAAACAACTGAATTAGAAAAACAGTTCACTGAGATGGCTTGCTGTTGATATGCTTACTAGGCATACTTTAGTAAAATGAGGATTGAAAATGTGCTTAATATTCTTTAACATAATTTAACATTACTTTCGGAAAAAAAACTTTCGAACTGTGTTTTTAAAAGGTAATTCTTTGGAACAAATTCAACTCGCGAGTCAAAAGTCGTTAACTTCAAGTATGAGTTATGATGATTGAGTCGGAGTCCGAGTCGTTTGCCGAAATTGTGACTTGAGAGTTGAGACAGACTTGAGTCCGAGTCCTGGACTAAAGTCCTACAACACTGGGGACTCCTGCTCAATACATTTCCAATTTTTTCTTCATAAACATCAAATTCTGTAACGAGGACAAAGCTTAAAATCAAATCCATTTAATTTGAGAACTACAACCTTAAAAACAATTCAGGGACCAGAGACAGAGCTGAACCTGGACATGAAGCCATAATTTGGGAAACACCCTATGGATGAAAGACTGATGATCTTTACTCACTGTCCACACTCATTCCAAGTTCAACACATCGTGCCATTCTACAAGCTGGGCAGTGCCGTCGGGTGTACAGGTCCATGGAACACTTGCCTCCCTGGGAACAGTTAAAAGTAGCCTTAGACTTGGTGCTACGTAGGAAGAAGCTCTTACATCCTTCACAGGATAAGACATTGTAATGTACTCCATTGGCTCTGTCACCACAGACTAGGCACAGGCGTTCCTCTTTGGAGGTGGAGCCTTCCATGGCTTGCTTCTTGGCTGGGGGAGCATCAGTGTCAGTCTGAGTTTCTGCCATCTGAAGGAAGAACCGGAGAGTAAGAACATTAAAAATTGATGGTTACATCCTCAGTAACAGTGACAGGGGTGGACATCCACCTCACTCGTTGAGTCTATGGTTTTTCGTGTCACAACACTTTTTAGTTTTTTTGGTGAAAATTCCAAATCGGCCAAGAGACGATACCATAACATTTGCTCGCCAAGATGCAGTACATGTAGTTGTCAGGTATGGCAACTGAAAAATGATCATTAACTTTCTCAGATAATTCTTGACACTTCAAAAGCGTGTGGTCATGCAAGCATTCACAGAATACGTATTTGCTACATCTGTCGAAAACTAGAACAGCTTTTGTGACAACCGTTCAGGGAAGTAACCGGTTTAGAAATCATTATTGTGCCATGACCTCAAGTACATGTACAAAACCCAAAGTACACATTAACCCTTACCCTACTAGACCCTCCAACGCATGCCAATATGTGCCTCAAGAAAATCTCCTATGTTTTTTGCATGGCCCTCCAATATCTGCCATGTCATTTCAAGGGTAACTGGACAGGCACTCCAATACATGCCACAGAGAACAATGAGAGTCCTCTGATAACAATCAAGTGCCCCCAGCTGGTCAGTATCAGGCACCCTCCAGGGCCTCCAACTCCTGCCAATTGGAGCCTTCACTGTAAAGACAAACTATCTGCCAATAAACTGCAGCTGGAGGGCATTGGCATAACCAACTGACATGCAGTAAACTACCCTCAGAGAGTAAGGGTTAAATAGAAATGAAACTTTCAGAACTTATAACCGTTTTAAACTGGTGTTGCTGAGTCACGCTGAACCAAAAAGTATTAGGAAAACGACTCAGGTCAAATTAAACAGATTTTGAAATCAGACAGACAAACTTTTTAAGCTTTATTTATTATTTCCTATTGACTACATGTAGACTGTACATGTAAGTGAGTCGACTGTACCTGTTGATCTTGCACTTTCACGTAGTCGTTGCTGTTTCAAACTTAAAGGATGTAGGATCATTTGCATTTATCCCAAAAGTAACCTACCAAATTATTATCAAAATGCTCACTCGGATTAAAGATCGTACTGGCATTAAACACCCTGTGAAAATATTGTGTCTGGCTTCAGGCATGCAACTGGGAATTAGAAAAAATGAGGAAATTCCAAATCACACAGGACTTTACACAGTATTTTTCAATTCGTAATGGCATTCATGAGAAGTAAAAGACGAGGAAATCAGCAGATCCAAGGAAAAGTTGCATGCCTGGTGGCTTGCTGTCATTTAGAAGAAATCAAGAAATGTAGGTGATTTCCAATGATCAGTGCTATCAACAAAATTGTGTTTCGTGATCAAAAGGTTCTGCATGGTTTCCCACGTTTTTCTCGAAAAGTATAATATCCACTGAGCTGAACCATCAACAGCAGGTTATAAACATTCTTCTTTGGATTTTGAGTGGTGTAATAATTGGAAATGCACAAAATGCATGAAAAGCAAATGATCCTGCCTTTAATTCAAATCTTAGGAATACTCTTGCTCGAAGCAACTTTGGAAAACCAGTCTGAAACAGATTTCAATTGATAAAATTGAAGACTTTACAGGCAATACAGGAGAATAAAACCTCAACACAGAACAAGTACCGGGTAGATTTCTCTCTCGTTATAAAAAGTACCTTCGTTTTCTCCCTTCTAGTAGTCCTCCCTTCTGGTAGTCACATCTGTCCCTTTTATGGCTCCTCCTAGATGGTTTGCAAGTTTGAAGATGTCTTGAGGAGTAACGACAGCAGTCACCTGTCTTCTGCTAAACTACAGTACCTACATGCAATAACACAATCAGGAAAACACCTATGATTAAACAGAGACCGAAACTGAAAGATCATCCGTTGTATGGTGGTGTTTAATGAGAAGCTGAAACTAGTCATTACGTTGTCATTTTTCATTACAGATTTCCCACCCTGCAAGTTCATTCAACTCAGACATCTGCAGGTGTACAATCGTGGATGAATCTTTTGTCAGTTTTGAGATATTTACCGTAGCGCATGTCCACATGGGAAATCAAATCGCACTTCTATTCCTATGGTTTGACCAATAAGCAAAAGACCCATAAACAACCAACGTTCTTGTCAAAATAATTTGATGACCAAAATCATGTGAAGACTACATGTATACCCAAATTTAAGGCATGCATACATTTTGGCGAGTTGTGTACCGTATGTGAGCATAATGGAATTTAGCATAATGGCGGAAGAAAATGCACACATTGACATTTAGATTACCATTGATATAGACAATACCTAAAGTTACATTTGTACATGCTCATGTACATACACGGCATAAATGATGACCTTACCATACACATATGAAGATATGAAACTGCGGTGTTCTAAGGTTACATGTACTCCTGCAACTTACATTACATCAATAAAGTGTTACAGGTGGATATGCCAGTAACAAACTGAGCCTCACTACTTCAAAGAAGTAGAGTTTTGTTCTCAGACTGAGTACCCTACTGGTATGTGTACCCACAGTAAATTGCAAAATACTAGTCATTTATTAACCAATGAGATCAAGTCCAATCATGAACTTGATTGTTCCGTCCTTATTTCTGAGCTAAAAATAACTTAGGGTAAACGCTGGACTACTGTAAAGATAAAGAAAATAACACTTGAAATACTTGACCTTTGAAAAATCTGGTAAAAGTTGGAGCTAGGACATGGTTGGGCTGACCTTTGACCCTTGGTTCCAGGACAGCCGATATCAATAAATCAACACATCGGTATCAAGAAAATCAATAATCCGCCAGGATATATGTATTGATAATTGCTGCTGTGACTACTTGTCCATCCATTACATGTCTACTATGCATGTATGAAGGGTATTAGGGGGTCTTTTTTAACTCACTTAGCTTTTCTTTTCAGCAAAAAGTTCATCTCATACATCATTACAAAATGGTGCTGATAAAGATGATCAAGCCAACGAAGTTCCAACACGTTTTTTTTTCACGGGAACAGTCCATTCTAAGCATGTATTCCATTTTACAGTACCAGCATTCTCATGAGAGCACCTTGATTTTCCAGGCAAATTCACTGAACCAATCAAATTACGTGTACAACAAAACCAGGTGTTGTGTTTTTAGGCAAATATTTGTATTTTTTTATACGGTCCATGTATCACAACCCTGGAGAGTTACTTTCATTTCCCTCCTGACCCCTAGAAATGTTATCATAGGCCTACCGGTAGACATTAAATTTGTGAAAATACACATGTACACATGTGGTGATCATTTTCAAAGACATGGCTTAGTCACTACTCACTTCAACCGTTGTATCACCATTCCAGGAATGATACGCCTGTACATGTGCATGTCCGATTGTACATGGTAAATGTACACATCAGGTACATGTATGATTGTACATGTATTGATCATCAACAGTTTGTTTTCATTTGTCAAAAGGGGATGTACACTGAACACCACAAGAACATTTACTGATGAAATTCATACATTGTAGCACCACATTGTCAACACTACAACCTCTATCAAACGGCGGAAAATGCCAATAACATCATGTACATACATGTATACATGTGACAAACATACACAGTGAATCATCCGGTTTTAGTCACTGCTGATTTCCACTGAATGGCCACAAAATGAATTACTACGTGAACATGTTTTGTGTGTATATATATCCTGCTTCTGAATTACATTGTAAATGAAAAGGAATTGTTGAACATTTGTATGTGTGGGCCTTCTTCAAAGCACAAACTACATGTACTGTACACTTACACTGCACCTGCTCAATTATAACAATACCGGTACGAATATACACAGGTACACGTATATTCAATGGACAATTCTAAAATTTAGAATGGATAGGGCCTACTGACTCATGTGCTAGTACATTGTACATGTTTTTGAGGCAAGACCTAACCCTTTGATGATACGCACATACATATGAACTCCGAGCACAAGTACCCCCTCAAGGGTAAGAAAGGGAGAGTTAGGGGAGACAACTGGGAGAGACACTTGAACGCACTGCTGATGACGCCGGATGCTCACGTGAAGACGCTATGGCTTTGTGCACATTAATTAAAAATAAAATTAGTTTGCGCATACTTCGCGATATGTGCGTGAACCAGTATGTGCACATGGTACATGTACATGTATGTCTCGTCCACAGGGCTCTCGAAAGTGGTAAAAAAATCCTCTCTTGTTCGCACACAGAGCACATACATGTACACTTTAAATAATAGAAATCCTGTGATAAGCAAAACTGTGATAAGCAAATATCTCAGCTGATGTATTCAACCATTTCAACCAGCAGATCAATGATATTCCTCTTCAGCAAGAACTGAATAGACTTTCTGTTACAAAATTAATTTAATGCGTTTCCTGATGAGATACAAAATATAGACGTTATGTTCTGCACATCTACACAAACCCACCCCCGCATTGACACTCTTGAGGGTTTTCATCAGCCTTTTCAAACACCAACCACATTTAACCTGAGGTGAACATCGAACCAATAATTTTTTTTACTCACATGAAGATCAAGTGGTCAAATGATAGTCAAATGATGGTTGCAATGAAATTTACAATTGGACCTCAAACAGAAAATGGACACTTTTTGCAACAGATCATACATGTATATGGCTCTATATACCAGTATGTTTCATCATGGAGCTATAAAACATTTTATAGCTCAACGGATGTAGTTCAAGTTCATACATAAGTATGTATAAGTATGTATACATGTGCATAATTAGCAAAGTACAATGAACATGTACATGTGTTATGTGTAACTGTCACTTACAAGGTCAGTCAGGTCACATGTACCCATTTCCGCATGGTCAACACACGGCGCTTTTGGTCAATTTTCACAGCTCTTGACACCCCCCCCCCCCTTTCAAAAGTTTTTTTTTATATTTTGAAAGAATTGAAAGCTACTGCATGATCAATTAATTGAACAATTTTTCCACAACGGATCATAATGCTATCCTTTTCCTGCATTAGGACATCCCTTATTATTCCCATGCTTCTCATATTATTTTTTGCATCTGAAGTCATAGAAGTAGGGTCGGTCTGTCCAAACAAAATTTAAAAAAACTGAAAAACAGAATTGTAGTTGCACCCGCATAGATGGTTAAATGAAGTGATGCCAAGTTATGTATCATCTCTAGCTTTGTTTATTGATTGAGTCTATCATGATTGATATCACTGCATAAAATAATAAAACCACATTTAGCAGAGCACTTTGACTTAGTAAAATAAGCCTTTGTTTCGTTTGTATATGTGCCAACTTAATACATTTCTTATTTGACAAACAAAACACGTCACGCGAGTCTAGTCAAATAAGCTTTCAGCATCATGTTGTGCTTTGCCTGCCTTTTTATAAACACTGTAAATTCAGTGTTGTCCAGGGGTTAGCAAAACAAAATATTTACAATCTTACTCAGCTGGACTTGAACCATCAGCCTCCTGCTTAGTGCAGACAAATGTTGTGAAAAACTGAAACCGGGTCGGTTTTTGTTTTGCGTTTGCAATCTCTTGACCATCTTCTAAAATGTGGGGGTAGTGGATGCCGCCTCCCGCAGCCCCATGAGTCTAGGGAGAACATAACCTAACCAATATTTTCAATATTTTCAATTTCTTGGAGAAGCTAATTTTTACGTCTTAGTATTATTCTATGTGTCCTTATCTATTGATCCGGGGGGGTTCAGGAATTCCATATGCGATGCTGACCGACATTAATCAGGAAGATAAACTCTAAAGCAACGTTAAACTTGTACGTTTTTGTAGACTCTTTTCATCAGTTTCTCACACGTACCGACAATAACCGAGTCTAGTCGTACATGGCGAGCGGCTATGCAACGTGAACGCGCAGTGCGCACGCGCGATTTGCTTAGCAACCGCCCTAATACATATAAGCAATAACTTGTAGGCGTGGTCACCTATCCAATGACCGGGCGTGTTTTCGCGACAGTTACAAGAAACATGTTTCAGCTTTGGTCATTGGTTGAGCATTTTCGTGACTTCGGTTGGCTGGAGTGACGTTCCAACCAAAACTAAACAAAGGAGGGTGCTAGCGTGCGTGTGCGCTTTCAAACCTGCGCACGTACATGTACATGACGTACGGACTCGGTGATAAACTGATGAAGAGAGACTACAATTTTGTACAAATTTAACATTGCTTTAGAGTTTATTTTCCTGATTAACGTCAGTCAGCATCACATATGGAATTCCTGAACCCCCGGATCAATAGATAAGGGCACATAGAGTATGTAAGCATGCATGGCATGAAAGAAGTTCTATAACGAGGTAAACGTAACAAAAATCTGGTAAAAAGTTTGGGTGGTATTACGTAGAGAATTCTCATCCTGGATGTCAGTCGTAATGCAATGAAGACTTCGTCTAACCTGGGCTAGGGCTAGCTTAAGTAACTCCAGCTGACATGCTCATATTCATTCACATTAATAGCGCTAGAGACATAACCTATTCGTTAGAGTGTGGTAGCAAGAGACCCTAAAAAAATGGCCTCTCAAAACTTGTCCATTTTCACCTCTAATATCCCACCCCAGATTTCATTTACATACCTCATACATTCAGCAGTCATTCATGAAGATAATGATCGACTTGAAACAGACCACACACAAAAAACAAATGTGAAAATTTTGACGATTTCGGTTGCTTGTCCGTAAAAAAACGCCAGTTCCAACAGCTGTCGTCCATTTTGTTTTGTTAATTATGTAAATGCATGCATCACGTGACGACATCGAAAAAAATCTGTGCGCCATGTGTGTGGGTACCACACCGC